AATAACAAATAGCCCTGCTGCGTTCGCGTACGTCTCGTAAATACCTACAGAGGGAATGTGGCTCATATTAATAGGCCACGAGCTCCCTTGTCAAATATCAACAATATGATACTGTGGTCATGCATTTCTGGATCTTCATCATCACGGCTCATGTGTGAAATTAGGCTATTCATGTAGGATTATAAGGGTGATTCATCAGCAATTCACTTTTATAAACATCCCGACAAGCATGTTATTCTGTATTCGCTATTGAAGCGTGGTGGTGCACATCACAAACTTTACTCACTTTTACTCAAAGATTAGAAAAGGCGTACTGTTCACCTCAGTCTGCGCTGCGCGCCGAATCGCCAGGATTCAAATAAGATAAAACACCAGGCGAAACGCTGGAAAGCAAGCAGGACAGGTTAAGGGAGTTTCCTGAAAGCATCGCTCCTGTTTGTGGGTTGACCCTTTTGGCAAGTTTCGGCCTATTGTTTTGCCGTGAGCCCCCGAAAGCCATGGCATAGTTCCCACACGGTAAATATCCAAATAAAAAATAAGTCGAAGATCACAACTAGCAATTTGCGAGGAGACCGCGAATGTAGCAACCATAGGGTACATGCAGGAGTTGGCTTCAAACACAGTGGGACGCTGTTGGACAATCCTGTCTACTCAGTCAATCAGGATCTGCCCTTACCTGACTGCTCCATCAATGTAGCGTCATGTAAAGGGAAATGACCAAAACAAATGTAACCCCAGGTCCATGCAAGTTAAACTGGCTTCTGAAGACAATGAATTGTAGTGAAAATTGATTTATGGTAAAGAAGGGAAAGATTCATTTTTTTATTGATTCACTTTACATCTCCACCTGCTTGATTAGCATATGTTTACTGGCCCTTGGACACTCTTTCTGCTTTCTTTTATTCTTGTGCCCTATCTTACTCATTATTCACCTACTGCATGTGTGATACGCCCAACGGTTGCCATGTTTTTCTTACACCCTGTCCTCCACCCCAGGTTCTGTTGCTGTCATGCACAGGAAGTTACTCTTCTGCTTTTCTGCTTCTGTGGTTTCTGTCTGTGTTACAGAGTGTCACACTCCCCTCTCCTTCCTCTCACACGCAGCCTGCTGTACTAACTCACCACAGACGTTCTCGGTCAACTAGTATAGAGAATAGTGAGTGACACTTTGGTGGGTCTTTTCTTAGAGACCAAGAGGCGCCAACAAGGTTTGTAACTGTATTCTCAAAGGTACTTTATGGACAGGATTGAGACAGGTTGATAAGAGGACAGACATGAGGACGAACTACCTTCTTTCATCATCCACCCTCTCCTAAGGACCAAGACGGATTCAGTAACCAGAGGCTTGATGTTCCTCTCCGTGAAGGTCCAAAAACTTGGTTTGATTTAGGCCTGCTTTTTCTTGTCATTTGGAGCTATCACCTTTCTGCACACTGTTTTGGAATACACTGATTTCCCAGGAGAAAGAGTTTGTCTAAAGCTTTCCTCCTGGATTACTTGTGGAGATTTGTGATGGGGAATGCAGCTGCAGGGGGCTTGGAGCAGGAACCAGCTGAGGGCCGAGAGGCCAGGAACTCAGTTGGTGCAGCTTCAGGAATGAGTGACCCCGCTCCAGCCTTGCAGAAGAAGCAGCCGGCTCCCCCCAAACTGCCCATGCCCCCAGAGGAAGAGCTGGAGGAACGTTTCAACGTGGTGCTGGTGAGTGGAAACAAGAAGGCACACATTAAAACAGAGATTATGCACTTGGTGTATCGCCAATGCCAGCTATTGTCTTGTAGTAGAGGCAATGTGTAAAGGCTGGGACAATTATGCAGGTACATATGATTCAGAGGCGCAGAAACAATCTAATGTCCTGTTTTGAACACACTATGTGACTGATTTATGCTAAATGTGATCTAGCAAGGAGAGAGTATTTTGCCTTACATATTTGCAATATGGTCATCAGTACCTGCTCCATTAAAAGTTGGAATATCACAAGAAAAGCAGTGTTATCAACAAGTTGCCAAATTCATCAAAGTACGTAGTTACTTCACTGTTAGATCTGAAAATGTCAGGCTAGGGTGATTAGAGCATGGCCAGGCAGCTGGCCCCAAGGGGAAGTTGAGCAAGACAATTACGAGTGAGACCATAAGACCGGAAAACGACTGTTTCACCATTCTGTCAACAGTCTTGTAACAAGTTGGAAAACAGAACAGAAAATGTTATGATGGATACATTTGAAACATCGTAAATAACATCATCACATCAAAACCTATTGTTTAGTATCAGGAAGGGTGAAGCCCTTTAAGCTTTGATTGTTTTTGCTACATATTTGTTGTGAAAAAAGAATAGAAATCTAAGTGTATTAAAAAAGAATCCCTATCAAGTTAAATATCTGATTTTTATTTCTTAGTCTGGTCTAAATCTTGTTAATGAGCATAAAATGCTCTAAAAGTGAACTGAACTGAAACTATGACATCATGCTGACATCCTGCAGCTGCCTCCATTTGTGAAACTCTACACTTTAGCTTGATACCTAAATGGTCTCCACAAAATAAAATCCATCCTGTCTTTAAATGTATATGATACTCATTACCCTAGATGTGTGACATCATGGGTTATGTGATGGAGCAAAATATTTAGCCTCTAAATGAGCAGCGTGTAGTGTAGGTAAAAAATGAGCGAACAGATGTTGGAACATGAGCTAAGCTCCAAATATTTATGTAAAGAGAATAAAACATCTCCTGGTTTGCCTGAGCTTCATTGAAGACAGTGACTACAGAATTTAAGACAAATGTTAAATATTTACTTTACTAAGGGAGTTAGTGTAATTAAACCTTTATTAATGTAGGATGGAGAAAAGCACTTTTCTTCATGTGTGACTATTTCACGTAAGTTGACCAAACTTCTGAGAATGGAGATGTCATGAAATGAGAAAACATGAGGTGTGGTTTTAGGGTTAAATATTTCATAATATCTATGTGACATTTTCTGTTCACTCGAAAAATTAACAAAGTTGGTCTGTTCCATTTTATACCCATATCGCCCTCTCAGACGTTATATGAAAGTATGACCTCACTTCCTCTTTCAGCAAAATACTTCCAATGTAAACTTTAGAGACTCTTCCTTAACTCTGAGAATTCAAGCTTTAATGCTTGCGTAACTCAAACAAGGAAATGAGAACTGCTCTTTCTTCATTTCTACATTGTTTCTAAACGTAGGGAATTTATAGTCACAGTACATCATGTAAATTTGTGCAAGTGAACATGCACCACAAGTGTTGTACATAAAACCCACAATGAAACCCCTCCCTGACCCCACCAAGGATGAAGCACCCCAGCAGCAATGCAGCAGGCCGTTTTCATTCGTGCTTCTCTTTTTTTTAAGGCATGAAAAAGAACCTAGTAACCACTGTTGAAAGTAATGTCAACACCCAGTGAACTGAAATGACTCGTCTTGCCAGTAAATCATCACCACTGTGTTTGTAATCTTGGATCAGGTAGATAAACAGGGACAGGAATGGTGCAGCAGTGTTGCAAATGTGAAGGGATAGTAAAAACATCCACTTGGAGCAAAACATAAATAAAAATGTAATAATTTACTCAATCAGTGACCAAAGAAAGCACCTGAACTCAGTGACTAAGGACTATTCTCTCCAATTCTCCAAGTATGTTTTAAGAGCTTTATGTCTTTTTTTCCCCACACAAACTGATTGATGAAAATCCTGATTAGGTTCTGAATCATTCATAAATCTTAATCTGGGTTCATTAAACCATTCAGTTATTAAGACATTTGAATGGGGGAATAACCTAATGTATCAGGACTCAAACTTTTGACTGTAGGTTGAGGATGACTACTCAAAGTGAAACAACCTTTTTGGGTATGAATATGTCAACTCCTTGATGGTTGCGTCAACCTGCACCAAAGAGTTGTGTAGGTGGGGGGGTTCTTGACCTTCTCTATATAGTTGAGAGGATAATAGAATTATTATGTACAGTGAGTGATGGAAAGTTATGTGATCATGTTAAGATGAAAGTCTGATTTTGTTAGAAAGTCTACATAAACAGTTGTCATAATCTATATTTAAACTTTGATCATATATAAAATTGCAAAGAAACCAAAAATACAAATGGCTAGTAGTGGAGTGAGGTTTTTTTTTACATTTTATATGTGCCTTGTTACATCAACATCTTTATCTTTATTACAGGTTGCATTGTACTGTAAAATGTTACACATCATCATCACATGCACAAAGGCTCTTAGATGACCTCAATAATTCCTTTGTTATAACCAAAAATATTTGTATTTTCTGGGGTACATGGGGTATACGGTACCTGACAACCATCAATACATACATGTAAACACTGAGTCATTTTTGCTTCCGGCAGGCAACGCCCTGCAGCTTAAAACGGAAAGTGCCTTTGTGGTTAGGTTGATTTAAATATTGTTGCATAAGCAGGAAAGAAACTTGAACATTTAATATTTGTGTGCTGAATGACAGTGAATCATCCTAAAGTGTGACAAACATGAAATAGCATTTTTTTTTTTTTTTTTTTTTTTTTACCCAGTCATATTCTTGTATATAACATGTATTTTTATCACCTTAGATTCTGTAGAGTGAAACAACCTCCCTCTTTCGCTCTCTCTTCCAGAGCTACATGAACTTACCTCCTGATAAACTGATGCTGTTGAGTCAATATGACAATGAAAAAAAGTGGGAACTAGTCTGTGACCAGGTAAGGCCTTTTTCTTTGTTGTTGATAATGAGCTGGTTTCACGATCAAACCTCATTTTACATGTCATCACACTGAGCCTTCACTGGGACAGAGTTGACATAAAGTACATAAACACCCAAAATGAATATGTGGTGAACAGCCCAGTGCGCTGTGGAAACCTTGTAGCACAGTTTCTGTGGTTGCAACTGATAGAGGCGTCGGCATGGAAACAGAGAGCCGTTTGTGTTTGTTGTGTTTACTAGCACATAATAGTAATAATAGCTTCAGATGCTGTGTGCTGATGTATGTGTCTTTCAGGGTTTTTGATAAAAAGTCAAAAGCTGCTTTTGACTCAATTCTCTGTGAATCATTCGTACCTAGGAGCGTTTCCAGGTAAAGAGCCCCCCATCCACCTACCTGGCTAAGATCAAGAGCTTCTACCAGGATCAAGGAGGGGTGTCTCGTAGGGTCAGTATAAAGCAAAACCTTCCTTTCATATTTGACATATCTTACATTTGACACAATGACGTCTTGAGTCTCACCTTCTTCTGCTTCTTTAGCTGAAGAAACGAATCCAAGATGCCACCAAGGTCCTTAAAGATTTGGAGATATCCCTTCGCACAAATCACATTGGGTGAGCATGCTGGGGTGGACCCTGTCCTTTAACAACTTTTATATACTTTTCTTCTTAGAAGTTTCATCTTGATGTGTTTTTACGTTTCTGTTTGACATTGTTTTAAAGTAAATAAAATGTTTAGCTCATCCCGTCTGTAAAGCGTTCATAGAAAATGATTCAAAGGTTCCCAATGGAGTCTTCTTGTGAACAACTAAAGTTGTGTTTACTTGCACTGTTAGGCATGTTACCGCAGCTAACTGTAAATCTGTCGATGGTAGAAATGTGTATTGCGTTGCCCATGTGCTCAAGCTCATGAATGTGTTGATGTTACAAACAAAACTCAAACCCACTTGTAAAAATATTGCTCCATAACACTGGTGGTAAAAACTCTACAGGGTATAAGATTGATGCTAAACAAAAATAACAAACATCAAGCAAAGAAATTTTCCAATTAACCAATTATTGTTGTTGTTATTACGATTAATCGTCTTTTTGAGTTCACTGTCACCACGAGCAACGAATTGCAAGTTAAAATTTAATGAAACAGTAACATAAACTGCAGCACAGAAAATCATCATTTCAGCAAACTGGCTCAGTAATTGCAGTTTCACAAGGGGCTGGTCATGTAGCCTGAAATTTTTTTTTTCCAGTGTACTGAATTGAGGAACAGTGTGGATTATTGCCTATGAATTCAACTTTTCATATTTAATTATTTTATCTTTCTAAGGTTACATGTGCTTGCTTTCAATCCAATCTGAGCGCAGAATCTGTGATATATAATTACAAAATACTTCCATTTCAGTGTTTCATTCCTCATTGTTTATTTTGCTCCGGGTCTTTTTGTAGTTGGGCCCAAGAGTTTCTCAATGAGCAGAACAAAGGTTTGGATGTTCTGGTGGAATACCTGTCCTATGCACAAAGTGCCCCCTCGTGAGTACCAGCAGCAGTAAAAGCTCTCAGAAATTGACGATGCTCTTATAATGGAGCTATTAATCACCATTGATGTTTATTTTGTATAAACTTTTTAGGTTTGATGTGGAGAGTTTTGAAAATGGTGGCTCCCTGCCAGAGAGGGTAAAACCAGCAGAGAGGTCAATGGAAGACTTGACCAAGAGCTCCAACAGCTCCCACTCACATGGGATGAGCAGAGCTGCTCGTGCACTGACAGTAAGGTAAGAAGCTCCAGACATGAAAGATTATTGAAGTACTATCTATGAGAAACAGCAAGGGGAAGTGGTGATGGTGGCATATTGTAGTACCACAGAGGTGACCAGATGCCATGTCATTTTCTTAGTGCTGACCTCTGTTAATCTGAACCCCAAAATAAAAAATAAAAAAACAAAACTGGTGAGTTGCAGAAAGAAACAGCTCTGTCTGCAAAGATTTTTTGCATATTTAGGTCAAAATCTACAAGATCTTCATTAATATGAAAAAATCTTCATTAATATGAAAAAATGCTTTCATAAATTGTAAAATAAATTAAACAAACAATGCAGCACGCTAAATGTTTTTTTTTTTTTTTTACTTAATCAGTCTTATTAATTGTATAGCACTCATTTGCTGCCCTTCTTATTAAATTTCATGGTCATCTTATTGCAGTAGTTCTTGAAATGGACACATTCCGACCATGATGAATGCCTCAATTTCTCACAACCTCATTCATTCATGTTATCTGCTCATTTGCTGAGTATCTTAATCTTTATGTTCCTTTCCACCTGACGCCACATGTCAGCGGTCAGACAGACACAGTGGGTGGAAGGCTTCTTGTAAATGGCTAACTGTGCTCAAAACTGTTGTTGCGTGTATCTTAGCAGTTTTTGGACTCAACTTTAAACCATTTGCACTTACAGTGGATTCTCTTAGACTATGCATTCATGCGTCCATACACTTGTCATCCGTCTACAGAATAAGCTCCACTCTGGGGAGCAAGATCCATAAGAAGTCCCATTCATCCAGCCAGAGAGATGATGTGCATGTGTGCATAATGTGCCTGCGAGCCATCATGAATTACCAGGTAGATCCTTAACATGCTCTGGTGTGTAAAAATGTGTACTTAATGGAGATGAAATCTTTAAAATCTTAAAAAAGCTAAATGTTTTGCAATGTAATTTTTCAAACACTTGTTCTGCATCTTTTCACATACCAGCTTCCTTGAGGACAGCTGTTAATGCCTTATCTTCTGCTTTCAGTCTGGTTTTAACCTAGTGATGACTCACCCATGCTGTGTGAATGAAATCACCCTCAGTCTTAACAGCAGGAATCCCAGGTAAGTGCATTTGTGTGGGAGACAAAATGTGTGTTACCTGTTTGCCTGTATCCATATCTCACCCCTCCTATGCTGTAACAGGACCAAAGCCCTTGTGTTGGAGTTGCTGGCTGCCGTGTGTCTTGTCAGAGGAGGACATGACATCATTCTGTCTGCTTTTGACAACTTCAAAGAGGTAAAATGTGTTCTTTATTAGTAATTTTACATATTTTGATGGCCTCATTTATCGTTGCTTGTTCAGTCATGCCATTGTTCCAGACTTCCGCTTTGTGATTACTCATCTACTGACTGAACCAGTCCACCCCTCACATGCACTGTGGTCATGTAGAAAAGTCATGCGAGAATCTTTTTTGGTAATTCTAAATGTAGATCCTATTTGTGAAGTGTTGATTGAGATCAGCTACTACATTGTGTGACAAGATTTTATGGCATGAGATATCGTCACAACCATAAAAAATGCATTATTAAAACCATTCAGGTGAAAAGCTGCATGAAGAAGCGTAAGAGTCAAATTAGCACAGAAGATGCCCCTGCCCCTTTTAAATCATTTGTGTGGCAGCAATTTGGGTACCCAGTGGAAACAAATATAAGCAACAAATATAACAAATATAAGCAACATTTCAAAATGCACCTGCGACTTTCCGTCGAATAAAAGTCATATATTCCAGTCATGTATTGCGTCATTGAAGATTTCTTAAAAATAGCCTTGTCTCGTGAGCTAAGTGTATTGCCACACCCCTAATTATTTTGCATGTATGCCCCCTTTACACCCCCATCCGCATATTGTATTCAGATAAGTTTCTATTTTTTCCTCAGGCGAGCAGAGAAAAGAATCGCTTTGAGAAGTTGATGGAGTACTTCATCAATGATGACAGCAACATTGACTTCATGGTTTGTCCACATATTTACTACCTACACACTGGCTGACTGTTTAACAAATAAAGGGACACTTAAGTTGTGGATGTTCTTGAAATTAAAACTGTCTTTGTTTCTGTCACCAGGTGGCTTGCATGCAGTTCATAAACATTGTGGTCCACTCAGTGGAGAACATGAACTTCCGTGTTCATCTACAGTATGAGTTCACTCACCTTGGATTAGACAAGTATCTAGAGGTGAGCATGCATAAAAATCTTAGTGTAAAAGGAGTCAATCATAGTGTTGAACCTACAGAAAGGTATCACCCAAATCTGCAGCTCCTCTCAGCATTACTAGCTTTTTTGCGAGTTTAAGCTCATTGTTTAGCTTTCTAACCCACAACTTTACTGTTTGGCTCTCTCTCACCGCTCTCATAGCATCTTTTTCAGCTGCAGCAGGCAGCTGCAACCCACTGTGCATTACCTGCTCAGCACCAGACACAATTAGCGATTAGCTGGTTTACATATTGGAGCACGTAGCAGCTAAAGAGCCAGATATTTTCCTCAGGAGTTGGTAGAGACCAAAAACAAAGCTTCACTAGAGAGTGAATATTGAAATTACATTAATCAGGTGAACAGAAACACAGCTCCAAATAAATTATAAGGTTCCTCCATAACATAAATAATCAATAAATTGAGAAGATAGGCAGATTTAGGTAATAGGCAGAATTATCCATAATGAAAATAGTCATTAACTGTAGCCAAAACAATATTTACTGCTAAAAATACAAGATAAATAAGTTTGTTCATCAGACTTTTGCTGACTCTCTTTACAACTTAGTTTTCAAATATTTAACATATGAGTAATATAAATAGCTCCTATAAATCTTTATCTTTGAATGTTAACCTGAATCAGTCCCTATGCCATATGTACATTATTACTTAAAACATGCAGTAGATATGATAACTTATGATTTATTCCGATAATACATCATTATTCTATGTGTTTCTGTGATAGCGCCTGAAGCTAACAGAAAGTGAGAAGCTGCAGGTCCAGATACAGGCCTACTTGGACAATGTGTTAGATGTCGGAGCCCTGCTGGAGGATGCTGAGAACAGAGGAGGGGTACTAGAGCATGTGGACAAACTGCAGGAACACAACGGACAGGTCAGCCACAAATTAAAGAAAAATACGAATTGTTGAATTAAAAGAGGCTTTGATGTTGTGATGTTAAGGCAATGTTGTCTGTTACAGCTGACTGCCCAGCTTAAGGAGATTACCAGTCAGACTGCAGAGAGAATATCTGAACTTGAGACTCATCTCATGCAGGCCACAAAGGAGACTGAGCTGCTCAAAGTAAGTGCTGCTCCATGATATGTACAGTGTTTAACAAGATTAATTAGCCAAGGAAGGTGTTCCATTCTCACAGTGATCAGTTATAATAAGGTCAAAAGAGTGGCAGTTCACTTTATTTTAATAATCTTAATACGAAAGTAAAATCTAATCATCAATATAAAATAAAAAAAGACCTCACATTTTAGCTGTTGGTCGCATGGTCTAGACTGAAATATCTCAACAATAATTTTATAGATTACCATGAGAATTAATGTAATGACTTGACCATGACTTTTCCTTTAGCATTTATGACTAAATTCAAAACTATATTGATATTCCCATCAACCTCAGCTCTATTTTGTGTTTTGTGCTAATTAGCAAATGTTATTGTTAATATGCTAACATGCTAAACATTACCTACTAAACATTAACCTGTTAGCATTGACATTGTGAGCATGCTGACATTAACATTAAATTAAGTACCTCTGTGCACAGCCTCACAGAGGCACCTTTATGGCTGTAGACTCTTAGTCTAGTTTAAGAACATATCTTCTGTAAAGCCTTAAGATAAACTCTGTATGATATGCTCTTTGTGGAGAGTTCTGTTTCTAGATTATTGTTTTTGTCTTATAGGAAAGCCTGCGAGAGTCCTGTTCCCAGGTTAGTGCCTTGCAGCAGAGGGAACGGGAGCGGGAACTGGACAGGGAGAGGGAGAAGGACAGGGAGCGTCTGAGCGGCTCCACTCCTCAAACATCTTCAGAGCTGGAGCAGAAGATCCAGGAGCTGCAGGACAAAGGGCTGATCCGACTGGGACGCAGTGCCTCTGGAGGTCTGGACATCCAGGTGGTGCCCGTCACTGTGGTCGAATACGTCCAAGCCCCAGCTGCTCAGCCCAGTACTCTGAGCTCAGCCACTGATTCTGCTTCCCCACCATCAAGCCTTCCTGCCTCTGCCCCTCCACCCCCTCCTCCACCTCCTCCACCTCCCCCTGGTGGTCCAGGGCAAGTTGCCTCTCCTCCTCCGCCGCCTCCGCCTCCACCTCCACCAGGAGGTTGTGGTGCTGTGCCCCCACCTCCTCCTCCCCTACCTGGTACTGGACCCCCTCCTCCACCTCCCCTGCCTGGTGCTGGACCCCCACCTCCTCCTCCCCCACCTGGTGGTGGCCCCCCACCCCCTCCTGGAGCACCAAACACTCAATCTGGTAAGGAGGTTGACAGAAGAATCTGAAAAGTACTGAAAGCTGTTATAACTTTGCAATGGAAAAGTAAATCTTACTTTTTTGATCATTCCTCTTCTTTTTCCGTTTCCTTAGGGCTTAAGAGCAAGAAGCCCATTCAGACCAAGTTCAGGATGCCATTGTTCAACTGGCAGCCCTTAAAACCAAACCAGGTGACAGGCACAGTTTTCAACGAGCTGGATGATGAGCAAGTCTTAGGGGTAAGAAATGCATCCTCCATTTTCCTCACTTGCCCTGTACAGTCTATACTGTCTGAAAACTGCAATTTGAAAATACCTTTTTATCCTGACCTTCTCAGCTTCCTCTTTCTGCCTCTCATTATGTCTACATCAGGAGTTGAACATGGATATATTTGAGGAACAGTTTAAGACTCGGGCCCAGGGTAATCCTAAAGACCTGTCCAATATCAAGACGAAGGTGGTCCAGAAGGCCCCCAGCAAGACGTCCTTAATTGATGCCAACAAGGCCAAGAATCTGGCCATCACTTTACGCAAAGGGGGAATGAACCCATCTGCTATCTGCACCGCCATAGAGACGTATGTGCTTCATGAAAATCCTGCTGTATTATTGACATTTCTGAGCTATTCTCCATTCTCTCTTTTATACACTACCTGGTGTGACTTTAATTACTCTTTTGTCCAGGTATGACCAGCAGTCTTTGTCTTTAGACTTCCTGGAATTACTTGAGCCGTTCATACCATCAGATTTTGAGATGAAGCTGCTGGTTAACTATGAAAAGGATGGCCGCCCGCTTGAGGAGCTGACTGACGAGGACCAATTTATACTACGCTTTGGGAAGATTCCTCGTGTGGGGCAGCGAATAAACACTCTCACTTTCATGGGCAACTTCCCGGAGACTGTCAAACGCCTGCAGCCGGTTAGTTTTTCAAATGCATGTTAACTTGAAGATTTAAGTTCTTAAACAGATGTACCAATCGTGTTTTTACTTCATCCACAGCAACTGAACTCCATCATTGCTGCGTCCATGTCCATCAAGTCTTCAACCAAACTGAAAAAGATCTTAGAGGTAAGTAAACGGGGCGCCTTGCTCACCTGGTGGGCGTGTGAACCATTTACGAGTCCCTTTGCTGCATGTCATCCTCTCTCTTCCACATTTCCTGCCTCTCTTCAGCTGTTCAAACAGCCGTAAAGGAGAATCCAACATGCTGATGTAGCTTTTTAAATGTGTGATTTTTTTGTATTCTCATGTGTTCCCCTCCAGATCGTTCTCGCCTTTGGCAACTATATGAACAGCAGTAAGAAGGGTGCAGCGTACGGTTTTCGGCTACAGAGTCTGGACCTTGTAAGTACCTTTTGTTTGTACGAGACTATGTCACTTTTGGAAGACAGAATAACATACTCTGCCTGTTACAAATCAAAAGTTGAACCTATAAGCAAAAATTTACCTTTGCTTAAATCAGTACACTCATGTGAACAGGTTTATGTGTACTGATATACACACTTGTGACAAATAAATCAACCAACAGATTGCAGAGTGGGACCGAGTTTGTATAAATCCCTTCTGCTACGTTTTGACTGTTACAGCCTTACATGGTCTGCTATGACCAGTAGCAAAAGAATAGCTAATGTTATCAAATTTTAGATAGACATTTCTGATATTTGGTGACTTTATGATAATTACTTGTACCATTATCCCATATATGTCACTAGTGATGACAGGGGCAGCTGTTAAGCATAAGTTAATAATCATGATTTAAGAAATCTCATGTTTGTTTTTCAGCTGTTGGAGACCAAGTCAACTGACCGCTCACAGACGCTACTTCACTTCATCACCAGTATCATCCTGGAAAAATACCCTGACTTGGCCAACTTCCACACTGACCTACACTTTGTAGACAAGGCAGCACTTGGTACATTCACGCAAAGTCAAGCTGTTCAGTTTAAGTAGCTGGTGATTTAAATTGGGTTGTGGTATTGAACTCATTTTGTTTTTTTCCTAGTATCATTGGATGGCATTCTTCAAGATATCCGCTCATTAGAGCGAGGAATGGAAATGACCAAGAAGGAATTCCTGGTGCAGGATGACAGCCCGGTGTTGAAGAATTTCATCAAAACCAACAGTGAGCAGCTGGAATCTTTGATCAAAGACAGCAAGACAGCGCAGGTTAGCCTGTGATTCATATTAACCTTATACACAACTCTTAACAACACCTTATTATATGCTTTTAGATGTATATTTTATGTTGTCTGACTCCGTCTGTCTCCAGGAGGCATACGGCTCTGTGGTCGAATATTTTGGAGAGAACCCTAAAACCACACAGCCTTCCATGTTTTTCCCGCTGTTTGGACGCTTGATAAAGGCATATAAGGTGAGGATATATGGTAGGTTTCTGCTATTTATCCATTACAACTGTTGCATTGCATGTTAATCCTTTTGCCCTTAACTGAACACAGACCGCACAGCAAGAGATTCAGCAGAAAAAGAAAATGGAGAGTGAGAGCAGTGTGGAAAAAGAGACACCCTCTCCAAACAAGGCTGGGGCACAAAAGGTAAGATATTAAAAGGTCCATTCTTTAGAAATTATCAGACATTTGTATTAAAAGGTATTTCTTCACGGCTTATGTTATTTGAAGGGTACAGTTTCAGAAATACGTCATACAGCACAAACCATCATCTAAAACAAATTTATGACTCAAAACCATGACACTCCTGCAGGGTAGGAAATTTTAAATGCTTTTATTTTTTTTTTACGTTTGCTAGGGGCCTATGATGCCTAAGATGCCCCAGATGGACCTGATAGCTGAGCTGAAGAAGAGGCAGGTGAAACCGCAAGTACGCGAGGGGAAAGATGGCGCCTTGGAGGACATCATCACAGGTACAGCAATGTGATCCTTCCTGGAGGAGTCACATGGTGATATTTTAAGCATGTGTGCTGCATGTTCGATGTTTACGTCTTGTTGAAATCCGCCTGTCTTTGCTCTGCCTCAGATTTGAGAAACACACCATTCAGGCGGACAGATGGTCGACGGCCAGCACAGCGCCAGGACACTTAAACAATTTCTGGTCAAAGACTTTTTACAAACTGGAATCACGCATACAAACAAAAGAACATGTTTTAAAGTGTTCTGTATATACAGTATATCAAAATATATAATTAGCCATATGGCAGTGTGTATTTTTGCCTGCATTTTAGTGTGAATTTGCTGTGTAAATAGAATTTAAGTTGGAACTATTTGATATTTTTAATGCGACAATTCATGAATTTGATTCCAAATCCTGTTAAAAATGCTATAACTATTTCTGTGGCGCCTACCTGCTCTGTATGCTCTGCATTTGCAAGAAATAAAAAAAATCATGACTTTATTTTAAAATAAATCTGTTTTTTTAGACCTTTGATTCTGTTTTTGTATTTTCTCTACAAAATGAGTGCTTTGACCTGACATGCGATGCCACATCCACAGTTTGTATCCACGTTTCCCATTGCTAAAGGCAATGCACTCATTTTGACAAGACATAAACAAGTCATTTTAAGCAAGCTCAGACGCCGCCACTGTACAAGAGAGCTGCACTTTATTGGACACACAATCACAGCAAATTATGTACAAAAGAAGGCAGGTTCAACTGCCTACTGTCTTCTCACAGGAAAAACACACACATTTCTCACATAATATCATGGCATCCACACTGATAAATTAGGATCTCCAGTATCAGTAGGCTTTTAAATTTATATATCATTATATTATAGATCTATTTTCTGTATTATTTTTGATCTTATATCACACTACTCTACAAATGGGAGAATCACTCTGTGGAAAGAGTACAACATCACTGGTGACTTCTCTGGTTGGGGTGCGTTAGAGCATTCTGAATCCTTCGAGACATTCAACACTCTCGGCCACTATCGTCATCTTCATCGTCACATAACATCACAGTAAGACTGAACATGCCTGTGCCACAGATACCAAAATAATGTCTCATTCTTCATGTTTGTAAACCTCTAACATAGAACTCTTTATCTTTCTCTCGTTCTCATTTTTTTTTGAGAAAACATGTAGACAACATTTTTTTTTTCGACTGCACCGTGCGATTGCTTGAGACTATACATGCATTGTTTTGTATATACCTTTGTACCCATCGTCATAGTTTATTAATAAAACATCTTCTTTTGGACATAACAATTTGTTGAACTCGCTAGGAATGACTCGGCCTATTTACAGGTCAATTTTGTTTTTCTGTTTTTGATGCCAAGATTTTTGAACATCCACACATTCATGTAAAAATCTCATATACATACTAAAAGATAGAATGACAAAAGGAAGAGAACTTTAAATTCATACAACTCCACATAATTCCCTTACTAATCAATCTTGGTGGTTTTAACAACTTCTGTGGTTTAGCTAAACTGCTACTTAAAGCCACTCGCAGCAACAATTGTACAACAAAATGTACTTATGTACCTAATGATTATGAGCCTGTTGTCTCTGAATGAGCATCCATATTCCCATTGCTACCACTCCTGTTCACATCCAACATGACACAGAGGAAAATTAAAGCCATGTAACTTACTTCTGTCAAAGCAGCAAGGCTCTATAAGAAGCCTTTGGGTCCACAAACTGACTTTTCTTTCACAGTAGTTCCCACAATTATCTGTGTTCCTCTCCATCTCCAACTCACTAATGCCAGCTGAATCACAAATACAGGATGGGGTGAAACCCAAAAACAGACCACAGAACAGAGAAAACAACCCCCTAAAGCAAAAGATTGTAGCAAAATAAGCCCCTAAGCACAGGCACTGGTCCAGCCTCTTGCACCTCAATAGTGACCCTTCACATAAGGAGGCAAAGGTGCAGACGAGCTGGACAAGCGTTTTCAGGGACAAGCTGCTCATAAATTAAAATTACATAAAATCTAACTCAGTGTTTGTAAAGACAGTCCTAGAATTTAAAAATGAACTTCAGTGTATATTACAGAGGCTGACTGTTATCTATACAGATATTTTCAAACAAATATAAAAATGTTCTGCTTATGAATAAATAATCTCAGTGTGAAATGTAATATCTCTCAATGAATTAAAAAAGAAAAATCTGTACAAAATGGTCACTAATATATAAAACTGAAGAGATGATGACATTTTACAATATATAATTTAATCTAGGCCTATATATTTCACACTTTTCTTCACAATTATAATATCCTACACAAACATCTCACTTAGATATATTTATATATGTATATTTCTTCTATGGTTGATTTCAAGTTTGCATGAGTTTTTCTGATTGCCAGGGGCATCCACTGTGTCTTCGACATGCCCTCTAAGCCTAGAGCCATGTTGAAATCACAGCCCACTAACACTTGTCTTGAAAAAATCATCCCAGAGAGCACTGTCACGCAATTCTGGGAGGTTTCATCTCAGACTTTACTTGGGGAAAGCAGCCAAGCGTGAATACTTCCTCCCCAACGCTCACCAGACGCAAATGCAGCAAATTTAACTCAGAGAGTTATGGATTTGAGTGTGGAACAGCATGAGTAAGTGAATTTCTTTCATTTGACTTCACTCAATATGAAACCTAGGGCTTGAACCTGCCTGGCAGAGCTACAGAGCACCCAGGTTGAGGCTTAATTTGCTGTACTGTGAGCTTGCAGTTTTGCACGATGTTAGAGCTTGGGGAGTGTTTAGTCAAATGCCACCGCTGCAACCTGGCACACTCTGCATTTCAAGTGCTTTTTTGTTTTTTTTTTCTGAAAAACAAGGCAACAAGCCAATTCTCGCAGCCTCTTCTTTGGGTAAAAGTGTTCTGTCATTGCTGTTGATCTAATACTGTAATACAAGATCAACTGGGGATTTCTGGCAAGAACAAAGTTTTAGAGGCACTGGTAACAGGTCCTTGCAGATGAACAGGCAGGAGTTTCTCAAAGGCAAAGAGCACCGCCTAGGTAAAATTGCAAGAGTGCTAATTACATATTGCACACGCTGTTACTGTTCATGAATTGAGGCCGATCACACTTTATCCTTGGATAACCTCAACAGAGTGTTTTTTTTTTTAATTTCACAGACACCCCACACAGACAAAGCAAAGTGAAAAGGGGCAGGAAAAGAACAGGCGCTTAATGGCTCTCTGACTGTCACATCCTTCCTCTCATCTCTTTGGGTCTTTTATATCACAAGCACTCTTGATGGAGACAAGGCAAGTCAAAGCCGGCCTTATTAAAGTAGCCTTCAAACACATGTCCCCAAACTAATCCCCTCTCTTCAAGCTGCCTACTCTTTGACACGAGCCCCTTTGCACATGTTTTAATCGCGATGCTACAAAAAATTTCGATTTCAAGTTATTCTAGTGAACGACTGAAAGAAAAAAATCACTTTGTCTATGACTGTCCGTTCAGCTCCGTCACCTCCACAGTGGGCAGCCTTAAGGCAATGACACATAACAGGGAGCTTCAAAATGGTTCCTTGCGCAGGGTTTACACTTAGGGAATCACCAACAGGCCTTTGATGTGCCTTAAATAATGACAACTTCAACTACGATCATTAAGGCGCACCCAAGGCCTAACATTCAGAAATGTTTCATGTTTCTACATGCAGGTCTTAAAACCAAATGAGGCAACATCAATATTAGTAATCTAACAGTTTTTCAAATATGCATTGATGTTTTTTTCTTCCTTCAAGAAACATTTGTAGCTTTGTGCTTGTCATGTTTGACCAGATTCACAAGGTCAAAATGAGAGGAAAGGGTCATGTGTTTGAGAGGAAACTGTGCTTGCTTTATATTTCTATATTCTACATCTCTATTCTCTTCTCCCTAACCCTCCTGCAAGGGTCAAGCTGTATCTGAAGTAAGTCTCTAAATATGTGCTGATTACCATTCTGTATCTTTCAAGCACTACTCGAGAGTTGAAACAGTGTTATAGATATTATAGTGTGAATGATACATTGCAGTGAAAGATACATTTTGTTCTTGTTCAAAGAATGCATTCAAGAGCTACAGATCTATGGAAGCTGCTTCCAGCAGAATAACTTTTAAATCTAAAAGAAACAAATGTCCCAAAAGAAACTACTCGATCTGTCACTCTGTAGGTCAAATTTCTTAAAGGGTGAAATCGTGTTTTGGTTGATGTGGCATATTTTACAGAGTGCTCTTTATCAGTGGTGCGACAGATGTGGCTTAAAAATTAATCATCACACAAGATTTGCTGAAACAAAGCATTAGTAGAGTCTGTGCTTCTGCAAACAGCTTGGCTTTACAAGTGCATGTTTGACAGAATGTGTGTGTTATTCATCACTATGTGTGCTTGACTCTTTGGGAAAGTTTGTGATGTAAGTTTGTGATGTAAGTTTGTGATGTAAGTTTGTGATGTTGCAACCTGTAAGAATGCTACTATGGGAACATCCTGATTGTCATAATTAATTAGTTAATACACATATAGAAATTCAACATTTGTATACAATTCACCATTTGCATTTTCCCTTCTGTTTGTGTAACTGTAACTCCTGGTTTTATTTCAAATAGAAATGTGCTGTTATAAGACTGCTCCCTACAATGTGCTTTTATGAATACACTGCCATTTTTAAATTTAAAATGACATTTTTTAAATTGAACGTTTTCTAGAATTGTTCCTAATTGTCAATGAAAGGATTTAATTTTGTAGGGATGCATATAAATATTCGAACAGTGTGACATGAAATGTCAAAGCAGACTGTCAGACAGTGGAATGTACACTAGCAACGAGGCGCAGGTCAAAGATCAGGGAGTGAGGACAATCATGTAAACTCTATACACAGTGTGTACAAACGGAGGGGAAAATATAGCACCAGTTCAGAGTTTAAAACACAGGCGATGCAAGAAACTCCACAAATGGCCTTTTAACACAAAACAGCTTGAAACCACAATCATCACCTTGATCTACTTTTGTTTTTTTTTTCTTAGCAGGCTCATATTCTACCAGGTGATGCAGGTAAGTGAGAGCAATATTATCTTGGACACAAACAACTACTGGACTCACTTGGTGATTATTGCAGCTCTATTTTCTATGATAAAAGTCACAGTCTAGAAATTACATCTACTCCACTAACAACCCACCGAGTGAGCGTATATATGAGACTGCTACTGTCAGTAAATCCATCTAGACCGCATCAGCTTATAGCAGGCTGCTGGTGGGAGGGGAGGCCCATTTGTGCACTCACTATCTGGCAAACTGGCAGGATGACTGTAGAAGAACTACTGAACCAGATCAGAATAGTAACTTGTCCAAGAAGTAGACTATGACTCATTTTACAGTACGGTAGTTCTTGCCATGGAAATATGAAGACTCTGCATACTGGAGTGAGGCCAAAAGTAGAGAAGAAAAACAAGAGGAAGAAAACCAAAGAGTCCTGAAAGAAAATTTAACTCCTCCTCTTGATCACAGAGAGTTTCCAGGGGTGAGGTCCTTATTCACAAGCTCGCTGCCACCCTCCCTGCAGCTGTTGAGGCTGGAGCTGTCAAGGCTACAACTGCTGTGCTTGAGAACCACTGACAAGAAAACAAGGGAACTCAGGGGGTGGAAGAGATTGTAGAGAGAGAAGGAGTTTGGGTGGTGGGTGAAGAGGAAGAGGAGGAGGTAGCAGTGAGAGTAGAGGAGGAGGACTGGCTGCTGGGCAGGGGCAAGGAGGAGGCTCGCTGCTCACGTAGAAGGCGGTGATGATGGAGGGTGGAGGAGAGGAGCAGGGCCTCTGCACTCAGGCCGGAGGCAGACAGGCTTGCCAGCAGGGCCTTCGCTTGGTTGGAGGAGGCTGTCAGGGAGGGTATAGCCCCCTCCTGGGGGTACTTCCTCAGGCCAGGGGCAAATGCTGCTGCAGGAGAGGGCACTCTGCCTGAGAAAATGCCCATTTTGATACCAGAGAGGTATGGCTCAATACTTCCACTGTTGGTCCCCAAGGCCTTCAGATAGAGCAGGGACACAGAAGACAGGAAGGGAGGTTTTCAGGGATGAAAAGGGGAAATTATGAAAAATTAAAGGTCTTAAAATTGTCCTGGGCACTGCCCTCTGCAGCAACATCCCATACCATTACAGTCAAACATGCCCGTGCATGCATGCTTGCATACATACACGCGCGTACACATTCACACACATCCACAAATGCACACAGATTGGGATTCAGTGTAGATTTTGGAGTAAATACTGGAGATGTGAAAGATAAAGTAAAGGGAGCAGATGGATGTGAGTAGCTCTCTAGTCAGGTGAACAGGAGAAGGAGGAAGCTGAAGAGGCTGGACATGGACAGGTCGCTCACTGCTGCAGGGTCACAGGTACAGTAGGTGGGCAGACCATGGGGTGCAGGGCAGCACAGGTTCATACAGGGTGACGGGGTGGGTGAGGTTGGCCGCAGGAACAAGAAGAAACATGGAGTGTAGGGGTAAGGGGTGGGGGACAGAACAAGAGACAAACACAGGAGATTGTTATTCAGGTTGATATCAGCATGTGTGATGCATGCCATGAGACAGGTTGCAGTCTACACATGGTGAAAAACACACCCTCTGTCATAGGTAGGGATGCAGCGATTACTGGATTTCACTTTTAACCGCGCTTTAAAATGTCACGGTTAATTAATCGTAAAGGCTCCGCTACACCAAGTGTTTCTGTTGCACGGAAGAAACTGTGGCAACCTGCATAAAACAAAAACAAAGTTACAGGATCAGTGCACCAGCTTAAGTGTTGTGCTTATCAGAGGCTACTGTAACTTACAAACTATGGCAGAGGGGCCAAACTGTGAAGCTTTATTTCCACCAAAGAAACGGCTGAAGTCAGCAGTGTGGGAGCATTTCGGCTACACTAAGACTGACCAGGGCGTTACTGAAGATGACGGATCACCTGTTCAAAAACTTGCCGTTAAAGGTTCCTGCTAAAGGAGTGAATAACTACATTAAACTTGATGCAGCACCTGTGGGATCACCATAGCTTTGAACGCCAAAGTAAAGGTAGGCCTAATACATTATATTAAATAACATGGCAAGTTGGTAGAGAATTAAATATAAACGTGTCACTTACAATCGACGCCGCAGCGATTTGAGGCCCATTATTTTCAATAGCTTGGTTTGTTGCTGTGTCAAGCAACGTGCACCGCACGGCGAGCTTGCGCGCATGCCGCGGTCAAAGTAGTTGAACTTTAGCGCCGAGCAGCTTCCACGCAGTGCAAATCACTTCATTTCTTAAAGGGCCTTTATGGAAGACAGAACGTAGTCCTCTCAAGACCTTCAGTCACTGAACATTTAACGTTACATCCTGTTGCCTCCTTCTGTCTGTGTTGAGAAAATGTTGCCAGGTGTAAAACACTAACATACATCAGGAGCTAGACTTTCAGGACTATAGGCTACCACTTAACTGCATTTCAATTAACACTGCACTCAATTTCTTTCTATCATTTTCACTAATACTTATATGGATGAGAGTTGATGACAGTAACAGTTCAGTTTATTCCCCTCCTTAATAACAATTTCCCCTGGGGGATAAAAGTTAATATTCCTCTTATATTAATAATACTTACATATTATAGAAATATAATTGTTAATGTCATTAAATATTAAAAATCAACTTGAGTCATTAGTAGTGTTGTGAAATTAATTAATGCATAATAATCGTAATAATCGTGAAACCGTGATTATTTCTCTGACAATAATCGTACCAACAAAATCTATAATCGTTGCATCCCTAGTCATAGGTGACATGATGGAACTTTACTTTTATTTTGACACTTGTTTTAATGATGTTTACTCATTAAAAAATGCAAAATATTCTGATGGACAGACAGCATCACACGTTCAGGCCCTTCATATAATGCTAGAATGAGTCAGTAGATGGCACTGTTCCAACAGTACAAAACTTGTGGACAACACATTTACACCATGTATTTGCCTCTCTTTTGCAGTTGGCTCTATGGTGAATACATCTGACGGAAACAGTTTGTAAGTTTTATGTGTAAACAATCTTACACTTTAGGGTAGTTTTATTTACAATTTTCAGCAACAAGCAACAGGAGGAAAGTTTTTGCTGTGGCTCTACAAGTTATAAAAAGGTGTTTGTTTAGAGATTATGGGGATTAGTTCTGTATGGAAGGAGACCAGAACTGTGTGCTAGTCTATATTGCGCTGCTGGGAGGCTTTCACCTGCTATGTTGCAGTTCCAGAGCCTGTGCCGCCAACCGTCCTTAGAGAGCGGGCTGTTCCTTCTGCATGAGGAACTCCTCTCAAGCCTAGCCGACACATTTATTCTGGTCTGTGAGTGCGGCAGAGCAGCCGCCCTTCATCTCACGCAGTCAGAGCTTCCTGCCAAACGACAGCCTCTCAGGATAGGCCTTCACAACCCTCACCTCATGCCCAGCACCTTTAACTAGCCTGTTTTACCGCCAGAAGTAATAAGATGCCAAATGGGAAATGGAAATAGGGTTTTGCAGCGTGAAAGTGATTCACATTGTCATGCCCTCCTTGATCTGTGCCAAAGCAAACGGGTAGAAATTGTGGCTTTGAACTGTCTGTTCTTATCCAGCACATTGATTTGAAGGATCCTCATGCCTGGAATGCTCTAATACCCCTGAGTAAAACTTTAGTGAGCAGACAGCCCGAGCACAGCGGCACAGAGCACCATCAGAAAAGCTCTGTTAATTTTAACACCCGCAATTAACACACACATTACAGATCCAAAACTAACAAAAGAACCTGATGCTATGCAAACAAACATGAACATAAATGTCTTTTATTTGCAGGGGCATGTCCAGAAGCGTGGCCAGGGGTATCAAGGGATAACCCAGATAAAATCTGATTGGCCACACCAGGTGCAATCCCAAAATCCCAAATTATAATTAGCTGAACAGCACAATATTCATTTGGCCATCATATTTTATTTTTACGAGAAAAATAAAACCAAAAAGTGTGCCAGTGCATCTTGTTTTAGCTGATTAGAGACAGTGATGTCTTAAAAATCCCTCCACCTGGCTTTCATAATGTTCACCAGCTGCCTTTCATCTGACCTAGTGGGACATCTCCTTGTCGTAGAGTGGATAATGGCACTAATGCTAAAGGTATTTATATATTTAAAATTATCCACGTATTAGCTGGAGGTTGGAGGTAGTAGACCGCAGAGAGACAAAGTAGTGTGCTCATTCCTTGAGTTTGGGCCCCGTTCGTCCTAGAAATGTCAATCATCATTTGGCCAGAGGAAACAAAAGAGAAAACACCAATGGGAAGTGGACAGATGGTCAAAGATTTGGGTCACGTTTAGGGAATTATGTCCAGGAAAGGTTTAAGAGAAGAGAAACTTTACCTTCATATGAGGGCTGAGAAGAGAGGTCACCCAAGGTGGGCATGTCTGATTGTCAGAACAACAATATCAGTCAGGAGTGTGATCAGCAGGTGTGAGTGTGAGGGTGAAATGAGGCTGAGGGGAAGAAGCACTGTGGAGGCTCAAATAGGGATAATCTTCAGGTTACAGCTCAATAGTAAGACATAATGTGTGGATCCTAGAAAGCCAGAAACTGGATGACTGAGTGTTTTGACACATTCTGCAGAAATATATTCTTCAAAAATAACCTGCTTATTTTTTAGTTTATCAGGATTTCTCGTCAAAAAGATCAAAAGCATAATGCCAGTGATGGGTTAAAAAATAAAACACAGAGTGAAGTGAACTTAGAGTCAGCAAAAGTTACTTAATCAGCTCTTAAAGGCTGTATGCAAGTGAGCCAGCCGCCTTGATAATTTGGTGAGATGAGCTGCAGATAATCAGCATGTTTTTCCAGCATAGTCCATGCTCCGCTGTTTCATTATACTGAATTAAAATGGTTTAGTAGACAGATTTCGCTCCATCTATCTGTAAGCTAAATTTTCAGGATCTGTGCTATTTTTCTTGGTTTGACATTAAAGACATCAGGAATCTGAGAAGAAGGAGGAGTGATTCCAAATTTAACAGCTTGTGGAAACCGATAACACAACGCTAGACTCAGCATCGTGATTCACCAAGGTTTGAATAGAGTGCTAAAATATCTGTGTTGTTATTTTATACCAAGCTAATACTATAGTACATGGCAATGCATGCTTAACATAGTGCTTCAAGTTTATGGAACCCCAAAATGTTTAATATTAAATTAATAAAAAAGACATGAAATAATCATCTGAATAAATTGTGTAGAAATTATTAAAACTCAACTCATTATTATGTAATGTTATTTCCTCATTCATTTATTTCATATCAGAATTTTATTGTATCTTGTTTATTGACTGTATACTCATCAAAATGCCATAAAATGTAGTCATTATCTGCGCCAGGCATGTTTGTATCTGTCCAGAGCTAATCTCGCATACTACTGGGTCCATCAGCCAAATATTTGTTGTGCACATTTATGACTTTATGGTGACGGACCTCTCGTGGTTGCAGAGATTCACAACATATTTTATTGACTGCTCTGTTTTATACCATCATTGACAGCAGACTCTTCACTCCTCTTAACCGACCAGTGCAAGTAATCAACAACTGCTTCAGTTTGGAATTTGTTTCCGCTAGGGACAACTTGGTGGTGGATTCTTTTGTTGTTGTTCTACTTTGAAATTAACATTTTACATCCCTGGTGTTTTGGAATTGTCCAAGGATTGTCTCAATATAGCCAGTCCACTCTGGTTACACCTTGATAATGTAACCTGCATATTTAATTTTTTTTTTGTTACTACTTGTCTGTGTATGTTAAAATAAGTCAACCTTGATTTTGGTTTCACACGGGATTAGAAAAACAGAGAGTGACTGAGCAAGAGACTTGGACAAGAGTAAATATCAGACTGCTTCATGAAATAAAAGGCTGGGCTTGGAGTAGTAAGCCATATTAGCTCTTGTGATGTCGCACTTGCTTGATGTTTGGCTGTGTTAACAAAGTTGTTAAAAGTATAAAGTAATGTAATCATAACAAATGCATGTGTACAGCTGTTTATGCCAGTGAAGTGAATTTTACTCTAAACTGTAGGGGCACCGAATTGCAAAATATATCAAATTTTACATAATGTTGCATTAGGTCAGCTGGTTCTTTGTTTCTTTTTGTTAATTGTCATGCAGTTGTGGTATTTTGCCACCCTATACGGCTTGGCACCGACTTTTCATGCTGACAATTAGCTTTGAGTGTCTACGGTCCCTCTGAGGATAATGCTTTCACACATACAGCTTCTCTTCATAGTTACTGTTTTGAACAGTTTGTGGACAAAGAAAGCATGCCATGTGTGAGTGTCATACTGAAATAATGGGATTAATTTTACTTTCATTAGACAAGTGTAGGAATCCACTTTGGCTCCAAATCACAGGGATTGAGAGACTGATAGGGGGAAGAGTGAAAAGGAGAAAGGGGCAGCATGCGTAAATTGCAGAGTATTGAAAGCGGAAGAAGGAAAGAGACATAAAGAAGAGGAAATGTGAAAGACTTAATGGTGGGGAAAGAGAACTGTCCCCTTCATATTGAATAATCAGTGATTGCTAGTGACTCAAGGGGCGATTATGACATGGCGCTGCAGCAATTCCTCCCAATCTTCTCTCAGTTCTGAGGCGACCAAAGCTTCATTACTCTTCCCATCTCTCAAATCTGTCTCTCTCTGCCCAACATATTCATTTTTCTGCAATCTTCAAGACTGAATTTGTGTCTGAATGCTCTGTTGAATTCTGTGGGGTATGGAGGTTTAGGTTCACTTCACTGCTCCTGTTATTTTTCAAATTACATTGACATTAAGCTTTTTCCCCCCTGTGCACGGGCATAGTGCAAAAATCTTCCCTTGGCTTTACTGGACTGGCATGCTTCAACAGTTCAATTTCCTCATCTCCTGAGGCCATTTATTATCCCTATGTCCAGTCTTTGAACTTATTTTATAACACTAAAATGCCCCCCCCCCCCCCCCAAAAAAAAAATACAACAACAAATGTATAGAAAGAGGCGGCTTCGGCAGGGACGTTTTTTGCAAATAAACTTCAGTCATTAAAAGTTTTTAATGCCTGTTAGAATTAAATATTATAGGCTCCAGACTTCAACTTTTGAACTTCACCAGACTTATTTCTCTCTCTATTTCGAGTTTTACATTTTTGTAGACTTAAACAGGTCTCTTATGGTAATACATAATGCTAAGTAAAGGTGTTTTATAACTTTTTAATGGGTTTAGATACTATAATTAGAGATAGCTTAAAACTTTCAGACATAAAAACACAGTTTAGGTAATTGAAGCGCTACTTACTACTGTAACATGTACTGTAACAGACACACGTCTCTGAAGGACAAAAAGCCTGCAGAGGATGCTTTGATCTATTTTGACAAAGCCATGACGACACTGTCACGATAATATGACTTTGCCATCAAAGAATGTATGATCATTAGCCAAACTGGGTTTTAAATCCAAGTAATCATGGTCACTGTCTTTCAAAAACAAAAAGATTAAGCTGATATATTTTAAAACGACACGATGTGTGAAATATAAGCTGAGGAGTGGAGCATGGTGGGGACATGCAGTGGTTCTGTGGGGCAAGGAGAGGACTGAGTAGAGTGAAGCGTGATGGTAAAGGCCAATTTATGCTTGATCTGGTGTGTAAAATACAAAGGAGCTAGATGGCTATTCTGGAAAGTTTTGTATGCAAACATTCTTGCTGGAGGTATGTAAAGGTGCCACAACCTTTATAACAAAACATGTTTCTATATAAAGTTGTCTGTACATTAAAAATAAATAAAACTCTTCTGCATACAAATAATTGTCTGTCCCATTTTTCTTGAATTACAGTATAGCTGGCACAGATCATTGCCTCTCTTTGTCCCAGTTTCAGACAGAGGGCATGTAACAATGCAAAGTCCCTTTTTTCTTCACTTTTATGATTATTATACACCTATTCTGTGCAAGCCTTTTTTTTTAAATAAAAAGCTGATAAATGGTTATGGTCTTGACTGCCACCGCCACAACAGGCAACTAAAACTGAGAGTATCTGGAAAGTACCGTACAGTCCGTTTGCACAGGCACTGTAAGATCAAGCATCCATTGGCCCTGAAAGTGCTAAATATAGAGATGATACCTGCTGGCCCTGGATCTTCAGGAAATCCTCTCGTTTGCCACTTTTATTCTTGTCTGTGCTGTTCTGCTGCAGGTGCTTCAGTTTGGAGGCAGCCGAGGAGTGGAGAACCTTACCAACACTAGAACTATTCCCTCCCTGAGAGGAGAGGAGAGGAGAGGAGAGGAGAGGTGTGAATAAGACCTTGGACACACAATACATGGTTGTACATTTAATTTCTCCTCATCAGTTCCTTTAATTTGTTTACGCCTCAGAAAAAATCAACTCTGTACAGAGTTTTATTTCAGCAAGCAAGTCTGTCCCCTGAGACAAATGAGGTTTTTAAGTTGAGGGCCTGTAGTTGACATAACTGAACAATCCACTTCACAGAGTTTCACCATCTATCAGTATAAAATGACAATCAGGAGAATGACGTTGCATAGCTTAGCCTCACCACAGGATCCACAAGACATTGTGCTTAATGATTTATCCTGCTGAGAGTCTGTCGACTCTCTGTAATACACACAAAAACAAACACACATTCAAATTTCAATCCAACTGTGCCTCGTCTGCACACACAGACATTAGCTGAGAGGAAAACTAATAAAAGATTAACTGCAGTAGCATCAAATAACCAATCTTTCTCTGCTATGGTAATTCAAGGTAAAGACACCTGGAAACTGTGTGTTTTCTTCGTCTCTTGATGTGAAGCTGACTTTTGAAATGCAGATATAAAATATACTATATGTGACATGCTTGATACATCCTTGTTCTAATGTGCTAATTAAAAACTGAAATGTAATAGGTCTTTTAAGTAAATCACTTATCACTGTGAATTTGGAGAGTACACGTGCCAACGCTGGACAAGAGTAGGAAGAAGGGTCATAATGAAAAGATGAATGTGGTTGAAGTTGGAGTGATGAAATAATGTGTGAAGACTCTGTAATCCTCAGCCATGCCCACGGGACTGCTCCCTGGCTCTACATCAGAGGGCTGAAACTCACCATGACAATGTGACTGTCAAGTATTGCAGCCCTGCTCTGAGGGAGAAGGTATATTCAGAGCAACAGGGAATACTACGCAAGCTGTCAACAACATCTCAACTGATGTGGCAGCTGACACAGGAACGCAACAAGTCTTCTGATTATCACTAATCTTTTTCTGTGTTATAATCAAATAAAGGTGAATTAAAGGTAGGCTACTCGCAACACCTGGAAATCGAGTTCAACACGTGGTCATTAGATATTAACAAGAAGTGATATGTAGCTTTGCTATAAGAGATACAGTAGATGTCTGTCCTCATACCATCCTGAGTATTAAAATTGATGAGGACATTGCTCATTCAAATACAGCACAACAGCTGATATACCTTGACATGTCATTATTTTGTATGAAACAAGTTGATTTCAAGACAGAACAAAGATGAGAAGAGAGATTAATTTGATATAGCTGAAAAGTAAAAAGGAGAAAAAAGAAGCGTAAATTTTAAATATCTGTATTATCTATGCATTTGTTTTTATTGCCCGTTTGGTGTAAGAAGGGGAAATTGTCTAGATTTACAGACAGAAAACAGATGCCAGGACAGATCGATAAAGAAATAATTAACACCTCTGGGCTCAGCAGGATGGCAGCTCCAGCACTAATCACAGAACAGGCAAGTAGGGAGGAAGTCTGTTGTCTGTCCCCTACTACATATTTTCGTTTTCAAAAACAATTAGTAGCCAATTTAGTCAGGGAGCAGACATCAGAAGCTTGACAGTGAGGTTCCAGCAGTCACCTAGAGAGAAGCAGTGAAGAAAGAAAATAGAGTGTGCTGCTTCAGTGCAGGAATCTGTACAGCAGGTGTAAGCAATGAACCTGGATTGCTGCTGGGCCCAAAGAGGACGGCTTGGGTGGAACTGGTGGCTTCTTGGTCTCTGAGGTCGGACAGCCTGACATCTGTACAGGAGTGCTTTTGGTGGTCGTCTCAGTGTAGAGCCGCTCTGCAGTTGGATGGCCACTGATCTCTATCAAGGTGTTCTCCAGCTCACGGATAGTCTCCTCTAAGCTGTCCAGCCTCCTGTAGGTGCTGCGTCGGATATCTTCTCTTGTTTTCCTCTGGCCCTGGTTTTCTAGACTGTCCATAAAGTGAGATGACCCACTTGACTGAAGAGCACAGTTTACTGAATTCTGCTGTACCCCAGGAATCGTCTTAATTTCAGTGTTGTGCTTAAGTGTCAGCACCCTGTCTCCAGTCTCTATCCCTCTCCTCAGAGCCTCCACTAGAGAGCTCTGCTGGCCCAAGTGGAGGGAGGATTTTATTCTGGGTTTGGGCACTGGCTTGGATGACTCCAAAAGGGAATGTAGCAGCCTGTAGGCCTCCCTGACTGTTTTTTCCTCTCTAAGGAGCACTAGGAGAGGCCTGTCACTCAGCTGGATCTCAGAGACTTCTTTAGTCTGTGGTGAGATGGTCAGAGTCTGCAGAGATTCTCCTGCAATTCTGCTGAGCTCCTGGACCTCAAGGGGAGACACCACCCTCACCTCCAGCTCTGTCACCAGCAGGCCAGCTTCTTGTTTTAATTCCATATCTTCTTTAAAACAACACTGTTCTTGCTCTCGATGAGGAGGGCTTCCATATGAATCCCTTTCTTTTGAAATGTGAGTCTGGTAGACAGTGTAATGACCGGTCCAATCTCGTGATGGAATCTCTTCTAGAGGGTAATTTGCCAAATCTCTGGGAGGATCCTCTGAGGCAGTGGGTGAAGCCGGCAAACACTCTTTCAGCACAATGTGGGGGACATCAGACAAGCGCCTTCCCTAAATGTGTAAAGCACTTGAGGTTTAAATTTCAACATACTGAACTGGTCTTAGCTTTAGCACAATCCAACAACTTGTTGCAGACAACCAACCATATAACTGAAAAAAGGCAACTTTTATCAACTTGTATGTAATGTATGTCTAGATAATTTCCTCTTAGCATAAGTATCAGTATGTAAACATGTTTGGGTTCCTTACTGTTGCATCTGATGTACTGCCTGTGTGGTTTGTCCCATACAGCTCCCTCTCAAGTCTAGAGCAGTCCATTAAGGCACAGCTGGACGGCTGTTTGCACAGTGTTCAGGTTTTTACCGCTGGTCACACGTGTTCTCTCTCTCTCACACTCACTCTCACTCTCTCTCTCTCTCTCACACACACACACACACACACACACACACACACACAACAACATCTACTGTAAAGCTACTGCAGAAAACACACAACTCTCTCCTTACTGAACTGCAGCATTCATACTACACAAAAGGAACCGAATGTGCATATAGGTCTGGGACCAAAGTGTAACACTCACGTACTAAGGATGCGTCCTCCCAAATGAAGAATGATTTAATGTTTAAAAGTATGCTTAAAAAATGACAGCCCAACTCTGCTAAATTAATTAACAACAGGCTTGTGTGAAAATAAGACTTTGCTTTGGTGTATTCTGCATATTTGTGGTTGGGATTCCGTAAACACAGCATGCATACACATGAACATTTGGTGAGCAATATTTTCTGCTAAAGGGAGACTTTTTGTTAATTTCAGCTTGAAGAGATGGCAGGAGTGCATGGGTGGCTGTGGCTGGTTGGTGGTGTCTGTGTGTGATAGAGGGGAGAGGAATAGAGATAGAGCTTTAAGAGGGCAGCAATCCACAGCACTCAGGGTCAGCCAGAGTGTTACCTCAGTGGCTGGGGCCTCAGGGGGCCACAGGTCCAGTCTGCAGGGGGGTACACTTTTCCTGCTGCGAGGGCTAACGGGCAGGGAAAGGGGAGGGGAAAGAGCGAGCCTGAGCGAGGCTCTCTCAAACAGCTGGGGAGGGAAAAAGGGGGTTCAAAAGCTGTCATGAATTGTAGAATAAAAACACAGCAACATCTGAATAATCCAAATCAGCTTTTGTTGATTTTGTGTTCCATCAAATTTCATGGCAAACACAGTCCAAGCAGCTATCAGGGTCCATCTGTCTGGCTGTGATCTGTGAGCCCTGGGTGATGATGTGTGTGACTGAGCAGTATGTGATCTTTGGGCTTCCCCAGTGCCAGGGGCAGGGGGACATATGGCACCTGCTGCTTGAACATGTGGTAATGATGGTGAGCGTGTCTGCTTGTGAGAATGAGTGCGCACAAAAGGCAGTGACAGATTGTGGACGTAGCATAAATACTAAAAAGGGTCCGGTTTTCCTTCTTGTTGAACAAGAGCCTATTGAGGACACAATCAGCGTAATAAACAACCCATATTTTAGTTTACCTCCAATTCGGCAGCAATTTTCTCCTCCTCTCCTTCCTCCTTGTCCCCAGAGGCAAGTGTGGGGGGTGTAGATGCAGGACGAGGGTTTTCAGACACAGCCCTCCTCAGTTTAACATGAGGCTTCTGGCCTTCAGTCTCTTCAGATTCGGACTTCTACGATTGCAACCACAGAAAAGGCTTTTAACATCTCTAAAGGCAATGGGCGAAGCTTGGATAAGCACAAAATGTTTTGATGTTTTGTAAGAATATTCCTTAGGTCTGCAAAACAATAGATTAGCATCGAATACATTCTTTCTATAAAGGCAAACTAGTTTATACACGTACATTCTTGTGTAGGTAACACTGTCTATTGTACAATACTTATTTTTTATGACGCAGTTTACAGACTAAAACTGGATGCTCGTGAATTTTCTCTGTCTTACCTTTATACTTTTTCCAGGAATGAGGGGCTCTCCACTGCGGGTGGTTATGCCTGGAGAAGAAGGGAAACTGCGTCTAGGTGGTGGAGGGGGAGGAGACTTGGAGGGCTTCTCTGTGCGATACCGTGGTACTGTCAGCTCATCTGGAAGAGGAAGTAATTCAGGCATATTGAGAGAGTCAGTAATTTCAGAACAAGCGGTGAGGCATTTATAGGTATTATTTGATGTGTAGTGTGTAAAACCTCTTTTACTGAATGCTAGGTCAAGTGACTTACTGCATTTATAAAACTAACTTTCTTAAAACAAAGTATGTATATATATATATACATACATACACACATATATATATATATATATATACATATATACACACATACATACATACAGGGCTTGTAAAACTGTTTTAAAACAATTGGATTAATTTAAAAATGCATGATGGTTACCCTGAGAAAAAAAAATGGTTTTCTTAGCTCTTGAAAAGTTGATAATTTGAAGAGGCAAGGTTTTTGCTTGACAATGATGCATACTAATGACGCAGACTGGAGCACTGAACTCTCTTACCAGAGCCACGCCTGGATCCTCCCTCTCTTCCAGAAAGCTTGTGCTGGGGCTTGTTGGCGCGGTGCTCTTGGGTACCTGCCCCACATTGGGGGGTCTGGCAGGATGGTGTGTTGGAGGAGGGTTTGATTTGCTTGGCAGCAAAATCCAGGTCTGGAATTGCTTTCATTAACTCAGCCTGAGTCTCCTCCAGCAATCGGTTTATGTCCTGGGCACTGTATTGGGTCAGACTGGCCCGCTTCTCCTCCCAGTCCCGCTCTGCTGCCTGTGAAGGGGAGAGACAGATCTAAACACTTTATAAACACACAACCAGTAGTAGTAGTTCAGAATCAGAAATACTAATAGTAGCTATGAATAGTATGCAGGTTACCTGAAAGCCTGAGTGACCTGAAAAAGGTGAAAAACAGTAGAAATAATTCCTACCAGTCGGACCTCCACGGACAAAGCTTTGTCAGCAGCTGCCCGGCGTTCCAGCTCCTCCAGGGCTTTGCCCTTGTGGGGAACAGGAGGATGATTGTCCTTGTGATGGCCGGACGGGTTCCCGTGGCCACGGCTGAGGCTGGAGTGGGGGCTCCAGTTGGACAGGCTGTTGCCTCCCCCAAGGTCATTGATGGTGAGTGGCGGGCTGGTGGGGATGTCAAAGTCTGAAAACTTTCGCAAATCATTGTGCTTTGCTGAAGGACTAGAGAAGTCCTCCTGCTTCTTCCACACCCCCTCATTCGCTTGTCTGGTAAGAAATGGAGGACGCAGTCATTAATCAGCTCTTTGAAATGTAACACAAACTAAAACATGAATAATCCATGACTTGGAAGTGAAAACAATGCCAAAAACACCCAAAAAGCTTGAAATACTGTGAAGTGTGCAAACTAACTGAATAATTCTCCAAATCTCTTTTACTCATAAAGATGAGAGAAAAAACTAAATTTGATGAGCTCTTTTGATCAGCAAGGTTAATTAAACTATGAAGTGAGGTGCTTTTTGGACACGAGGCTGATTAGGAGATAGATGACAGAATGCTGAAGGGTACATTTTAAAAGTCCACACTCACCATAAAATTCAAATGTCTTTATTCATGTGACTGAAAAGATCAGTGTGTTGCACATAATGCCAAGTGGTCACACTAGCTGCTTGAATGCACCCTTCAGGGCAGCAGATTTTAAATATATTCTTTATTTATATCTCTGCCTCTGCTAATTTAAAGAGCTTTGGCTTAAAACAATAAATGTTAAAATAAAACATTTTATGGCGGAAATCTATGACAGCATATCTAATCAATCTTCCTTGTTCCAAGGCCTGTCTGTTCACCATATTTTATGAAAATCCATAATGTTCTGCTGACATACAATCAAGGAGGGGTGACAACATAATCGCTTTGGCAGAGTTACAAATGCAAAAAGGCTTCCTAGAACTAATTACAAATGGGCAGGGTTTTTGTGTCAGCTAATGTTGGACATATTTCACTGCAAGTGTCACTATGTAAGACAAATGCATTTCCATCAGTATTTTTAGAATTACTTCAAAACATTTCCATCTCCACGTCTATGTAAGGACAGTTTATATGTATTTTCTTTACATTTATCTTATTTAATTCAAAACAAACAGCTTTCTTTAACTGGCTGGTTGCTGCAGAGTAGGTTCATACTTGCGCATGTTGGCGAGGGTGTCAGTTATAGTCTTGCAGCGTTTTAACAGGGCATCAAGCCTGTGTGGCTCTTCTTTCAGGAATTTGACGGCCTCCACCTCCACCCTGAGCACCACCCGCATCTTACTCTGCAGGCCTGGGAACTGATCTGCAGGAGAGAGAAGAAGAGTAACACAGGAAGTCAACCATGTTTCCCCAAACAAATCAATTCTACAAATCAAATGAGACGTTGAAAGCATTTTGTGGTCATCAAACAAAACATTTTTGAACTACTGTAAACGGTCAGGGAGTTTGTTTAACACAATGAGCAATCTGAGACTGATTAAATGTCTGACAGACTGGCTGTGGGTGACTAAAAGATAATCAGTGCCTTGGTGAGTAATTAGTGCATTATGAACTGCCAGATTAAAAGACTGTTTTCTGTATTGTGCCTGTGCACAGAATGTGATATGCGCCACCATGACTCACTTTTCAGTTCTGTGAGTGTTTCTCCCAGTTTTCTCAGAACAGTGGCCTTCTCCTCCAGCTCCTGCACTGTCACCAGCTTGTGGTTGACAGACGACTCCTTCTGGATCTCCTCCACTGACTTCTCCAGGTCGCTGAGATGGAACAGACAGAAGGCTGAACACCAGGGATTCCTCTGCTACACTTACATTTTACACTTACATTTTACATATTTATCTCAGAATTATGGTGTTTGAGTTTTAGTAAAACTTCTGACAATAAACTGCCTCTCAATCAACTGGCATCTAGATCAACTGTTGTGGACAGCTGAACTGGAGGAGTATGGACATGCATTTAAAAGTTTCATGCAACAACTGAGGTAAAAAGAATCAGGATACAGAATCGATACAAATGTGAGGTTTTGTTCCAGCTCTAACCTTGACTGTGAGCCGGTCTGGTCAGACATATAAATCTGTCTTAAGTTATATAATGAATCAAAGCTGCATGTATAATTAACCAAAATAAATTGGCCATTAGCCAGGCTGAACAACACACATTGATTAGCAGAGATCATCTGAGAGTTCAAACAATTAGTCTGCAATCAAACTGCCACAAATCTCAGTGAGATCCAGGAATTATTACCACAATGAACATTTCCACATATGAGGCAGAAGCAAGCTATCTGATGATTACTAAATATAACGGTAGCTCTCTGCTCTGGTTTTGCAGTCACTTCAATTAGTTGCTGGACCGTCTCAAACCTCAGATCTTAATTAGCATCTTGCTCTATGCCGGGCTTAATTACAGTTACAATTTCATCCTATCACTGCGTCACCGAGTGAGTCATCTAATAATTAAACAGATATGAACTGTGTCATGTAAGAAGCAATCATTAAATATGTGATAAAAAAAAACTAATTTTAAACATACATTAATATTACTACTGTAGAAGAATCACAAATGCACACATTTATTACTAATGTTTGGATTATTATTGATTAAAAAATAAAAGATTTAGTGAGAAGTAGGGGGATTTCAACAACGATGTACTGTTCTACAATTACTGTTTGACACTTGCTTAAAACTAAGTCTTTTTGTGTTACTTACTGGAGTTGCTGGATGATGAGCTCCTCCTCATTGAGGTACTTGAGTCTCTCCTCCTCCACCAGGAGGCGCTGTCTCTGTAGAGGGTCCTCCTGCTTCCTCAGGGCATCAGCTACGCGCACGTTCAGCTCCGCTTCTGTCCGCTTCAACAGAGTTCGTACCGAATCCTGGTTCTCCAGCTGCACACACACACACACACACACACACACACACACACACACACACACACACACACACACACACACTCTGTTACAGATAACATGTAATGCTCTTGCTTCAGCAGGGCATAGTGTACCCTCAGTGAGTATTTGGAAATAACAGTGAATCAATGTTAGCCTCGCTTGCCTCAGAATAGCTTGTTGAATATATGAAATCTGTTATCGCAGAAGATTGCAGCTTTTCAAAGCAGACCTCAGTAATTTCCAGCAACTGCATATTTGATTTTCTTGTCCTTGAGAGGGCAGGCTGTGGCCTTTTTGATTTATTTTCAGAAAACTGCCACATGTGACCTGGCTTAGTCTCTTTCTTTTATGTGTGATGCTTGTTTGTTTGTTTTGACTATGCTGTATTTCTGTTTAAATTGTTACTGGTGTGCCGTCTTGGCCAGGTCTCCCTCGGAAAAGAGATTTCAATCTCAAGGGACTTCCTGGTTAAATAACTCTTTACTCTATCCTTGACTGCTTATGTCTTATTCAGTCATTGCTTGTTACTTTTTGGCCTGCTATGCAAAAAGTAGTCCCCTGTGTGTGTGTGTGTGTGTGTGTGTGTACATATAATATTTCCCCTAACACAGAAAGCTGCAATGCCCTGAGGAGAATGAAGGATGTCCATGACAGAAGCACTGAGCGTGAACTCAGCTCCCTCAGTGTTATGAATGGAATATTCTACAGGACTACTCCATGTAATACAACTCCCTGAGACGAAAGCACCTGGTAAGCAAGACAAATTAATTATTGATTAGCCTTATGTTCCAGGGATTGAACCAAAACAACAATATCACTAACATTTAAAAGTACCCAGTATTCTCCATTATACTGCCAGTAATTAATGGCAAACTCAGGAAATATGGCATATATATATGCATATATTCATATGTACAAAAAAACATTTTATTGATTGTTTTTTTATTTTTTTTATCTTGTAGCACTGTGCTCCCTTTCTCACACTTGCCTGTCCCTCCTGCACGCTACCCTTTGTATAATTCATGAGCTTCATCTAAAATTTAAGTTGCTGGCCATTGCCATAGGCAACAAATATGGGTCTAGGTGCGACAGTCACACTTGGTCACACATACAGGTAAACAGCAAACTGTCCTCTCTGGGTACAGCACAGCCTTGGCTGTTTGGCTCTCTGTCTATCGGTCTCTCTTCTTAGCTAGTTCAAGAAGCCCTTGTGACTCAAATAAAAGCACTGCAATGCCTGTCATCTGTCACTCCCATTACTGCTTGTTTCTCTTTTCCCCTGCAAAAGACTTGAATCCTCTCCTCTGCCACCGAATGCATTTAACTTATCATCTCTTCCTAACTCCTCCTATGGTAACAATGGCATCGCCTGCATCAGAGACAGATGAATAAATGAGGACCCCATCTCCACACACTGTTTACCCTTCCTTATGACATTTCATCTGATTCTCCATTCATCATGCCATTCTGGCTCTCTGTGGAATACCACGCAGTGTTAACGGATCTTTTATATTTCACACGTTCTACCTCGTTATTAATCCTCAAAAGCTATTATGCCCTCAGTGTGTCATGCAGTACAGCTATGTGAACCTGCAGGTGTTATTTACTGCAGGTGTTATTTACTGTAGGTACAGTACTGAAGTGAAGATCAAATAAACATCAAAGCCACTGCTCCAGCATTCACGTGTTGAAATAATGTATATAGTATTCTATATCTTAAAAATGGTAGATAATGACGGCATGTAGAAATATTAAAAATATTGGACACTAATCTAGACATTTAATCAACTTTGTGGACCTCTGCACCAAAAGCAAACCACATGTAGAGTGCCGAATGCAATGTCATTAATTCCAAATGACTTGCAGGTCAACAGTGAGATAGAAGAATCACTTTTAGAAGGTCATTCAGACTAATCAAAATGATACCACTTTATTCACTGAAAATGACTGGATTCACCTCACCCTAATGACACAGAAACTCTGGATAATCTACTGAGCAAGCTGTCAACACTTTTTATAGGGACTACTACGCATGGTAGAAAGTAATTAATGACTCACAGTTAACGCTCAGAAGTCTGTGGATTATACAGAATTTGGTCGGGGTAGAGGAAGAAAACTATACAAAGCCTATTAGTTCATAATTCTTATCATTTTCCCTGCTGTTTAATGTTTATAGCTTTATACCCCTGTGGTTTGTGTTATATCACCTGCTGGCTTTATAAACGTCGCTGCAAACGGCAGTCGGCCTTCCATACACCTGCACAATATGACATTCTCCAATCGGAGAATAGTTGTATGGTAACAAAATATGCAGTATGACTGCACACGTTACTAGATCCTTTTTTGCATCAAAGGTGATATCCCTGGTTTAATTTTCTTTTTTAAATTATCCTTTGCAGGCTATTTATAGGTCACATCGGTTATGTTCTGCTGCTCATACTGTAACATTTAAGATTTTAGGTGGAACTGAGTGCTACCCTTTTGACTGTATGAATGTGAAAAGGAAAAAGGTTTTCTTCTCCTCTGGCACAAAGGATCGTGGGATCTGAGAGGAGTAGATTACGTGCTCATGCAGATTATATGCAATTGATATGTAAAGCCATATTGGCTTATCAATGGATGTACTATATACCTGTGTCTTGCGTAGCTGGGTGAGCTGTTTGCGTAGATCGGTGGCATTTTGCTGCAGACCGTGCAGGTGGAGCTGCATCTGCAAATGGCTAACGCTGTTCACCTGGGTTGTGTTAGAAGGTGGCGGCGGCATCAGAGCTAGAGGTGCAGACGGTGTATGAGCTGCCAATCACAGAGCAGGACATGGGGGGTCAGCAGGAGGTCAAATTGGTTAGTTTGCTGGGCTGTGCTCTGGAGATCTAAAGTCAGCCAGCATGACACACAGTATAAACAGTAACACACAAACGCATACACACCCACACCGCATAAAGGTCTAACGAAATGTACATATAAAGGAAATCTGGGCACACACATACACACACACACATAAAACAATTCAGTGTGTGAATGCAAAAAAACCCGCCATATTCACAAAAGTCTAAAAGCCCACTGGGAGAAACGTGAGCTCGTGCTATTAGTAACCGATACGGAAGTGCAATTAGTCTATTCAGAAGTGACACATAGGGGGATAACCATGCTCTTATCTTAACACAGGGCTTTGTGAGTATGGCCAGTGATTCTCACACACACATAAGCCTTACACACACACTCACATACACATTTATAAAGAAGTGCCTAGTCTGTGACAGAACAACCCTCTGAGATTCCCATAGGAAAAAAAAGGAAGCAGAAATTCAGAAAGTACAGACAGGACGAGGGGGATCCGCACTCCGGGAAACCAGCCAGGAGGAAAACGTGAGGATAGACACCGCCAGCTACCCAGCAACACCACACATCCATACAGAGAGCAGAGAGCCAGGAGAGATGTCAGACAGAAGAAAGAAAAAGGGTGATAGAATAGGAGATGGCAACTACCTTTCTGCTTCAGCCGTCCAGCTGGAATATAGAGAGAGTGAGCCAGTTACCGAGAAATTAATGAGGGGGTGATAAGAGAGACAAAGAGGAAGAAGGAATTCTTAAAAGTAAATTTTTTACAGAATGGTGATTCCTGGAGAGCATTTTTATCAACTACAAAAGAGGAAATGACTCCGGTGATGGCTTAGTCTTTTGCCAGTGTGTCAATTTGGGAGGAAGCAACTGTGTCCTTGGTCAGGTCTGGTCACAAAAAAAGGTTTGTTTGTGCCAAAACGGTGTTACAAAATTATGGACGGGAGAAAGAAGGGCAATAAAAAGAGATGAGAGGAATAAAAGAAAAGCAGGAGGATAATGGGTTTTATTCAGAAATGCTTCAGTAAAATGATTTTTGTCAGTACTGTAAAAATTCTACGCTGAAAAATGTTGTTTTGTATGTTCAAGTAACAGGCTGATGTTTTGAGAAATACACTTAAACAAAAAAAATCAATCTCTGTTCACCCAGTACAGAGATAGTGAAAAAATAAATATTCAAATACTTCAAAGCTGTCTGTCTTTTTAACTCATACACTAGGTTTTGTTAACGGTCTTGTATGTTTGTTTGTTTGTTTGACACCTCCAACAGCTCCACGCTGTTAAAAGGTAAAAGATTTTTTGGTTTTAACAGAGCTTCGCCAGCTTCCCCCCCACCTCGTTTCCTGAATTTGTGCCTATTAAGGCGACATTACATTACATTTAGCTGATGCTTTATTTCAAAGTGACTTAGAATAATTGTATCCAATTCCATAAAGCAGATTTGTCCATTTCAAGTACATTCAGAGCAAAACCAAATTCTGACCAGCCATAATGTTTTTAACAGTGCTTTCAAATAGTGATGAGTAATTTAGAATGAAACTCTTCAACTTCAGTAGCTGGAGGAAGACAAAGATAGTGAAAGTGAAACAGGAAAAGAGAAAGAGATGAATGAGGTAGACATCTCGCAGAATTCCTCAATGAGTGTTTAAGAGAGCATTCACACGTAACCTTTTTGGTTGGGTTAAACGAACTCTGGTTTTGATTGTTTCATTTGGGCTGGTCTAAAAGCAAACCGACCAACCACATGATTTCTCATTCGTATTTATGTGATTTTAGTATGATTTCAAAAGCTGGACTACTACAGTATTAAACCCATCTGCTGATTTTAAACAGTTCAGGAAGCAGACTTGTGATAAACAATCCATAATAAGCAATCTAGGTAATACATTTGGTAAATGCATGAATCCAAATCAATCAGACAATCAAAAGCTGTTTAAACTGCTCTCTGTTGTGCTTGTATCCTACTTCACTAGTGAATATAAATATATACATAAGAAGCATTAAAGTGCTGCATGACTTGCTAGCAGTCACCAGAATTAGATTTCTCCAGATGTGTCCTGATGATGTGCTGGTGAAGCAGGATGACTGTCACCAAAACTGTCCCATCAATGAGTTACCTGTTAGGCTGTATGACTACATATTCACAGCTCTTGTTGTTACTTAAGTCAAGGTGAGCACAAACTGGACCAGAACTAAAAGGCAACAAGGTTTTTTCCCCCCTGATTCGGACAAGATGCCCAAATCCACAACTCTAACCAAGACTGCAGCTTCCTGGACTGATAACATGCTGTCTTCCCTCCAATTGTGAGAGCATTGTCAAATTTAGAAAAATGTGTCATAAACCACAAGGTCACTATCATAGCATTGTTTTTGTCCATTATCCTCTACAAATTCCAGTAAAATTGTTTTCAAGAAAATTAAACTGTAAAATAATTTTTAAACAGCGCACTGAGTAACTGTTCATGGGTCTCGATTAAGCTGATGTACTCACTTCCAGTGGCGGAGCCGTCGCTGTTGGTTTCGGTCTTCTCGCTGGAAGAGAAAGGTAATGGCCGTGAGAACTCCGTCCCTTGGTCCGGAGGGCAGCCCGCCATCATGCAGAGACGCAGCAGGCCGCATCTGAGGATCAACGGCCACAGGGCAAGGCAATTACAGTGCTAACGCTAACAGCACTACTGCTGGACACTATCTGACTGATTACATTAACAAGTTATCTTCTTGTTAATGAGCCCCTATTGTGTTCATGAGGGTGAAATGCCATGATAACAATGTTAAATGTAAATGAGGAATTTTAAAAAGGTACCTTAAACATCTCGTGTATCAACACATAAATCAATAGCATTGTGCCCTACAGCTAATGTTTAGTGCTCTGTACTTGTGCTGTGCTCGCACAAAGTAATGTACCACTTCACTGCTATGGAGCTGATAATGGCTCTGATAATAACCTGCTGCTTTTCATGTCGATAATGCTGCCTATGTGTCTGAGCTGAAGCTGTATCTGTGAGTTTTAGTGGGTTTATGTGGTATAATGGAGAGCCTTACGTGCTGTCACTGTCTGGTGCTCTGGTCAGCACACTCTGGACCAAGCCAGTAAGGCTGGCTATCTGCTTCTCCATTGCCTCCATACGCTCCAGACGATGATCCCTGCAAAATGTAATGCCACAGAGGTATCGCCAAACACTGATTACATGGAATAAAAAATGCATAAATGTACACAATGCTGTAGAGTAAGCAGTAAAGCTTCAAAAGTGCCTGTAAAACTAACCTTAACCCTAAGAAAAATAGATAACCTAAGAAAAATGCTTTTGTCTTCTTTAAATAATACAACATACTTTAATGAAATTCACCACACAGAGTCCTACTGACCTGCTGCTGTCACAGTCTTGTCCAGACATTGAGGAACCAAAACCAGGCGTGGCCCTGCCACCATCCCCAGGCCCAGCTGTCAGACACAGAGGCTCTGAACTGGAGCTGGGCCTTGACTTTGGGCTCTCCACAAATACAGAGGAGGAAGCTGAGTCCTTGCGGAAAGTCTGCCTGACAGGTGAGGCTCTGCTGGGTGAGCTGGAATACGAGTCCCTGTCCCTGAGCTGCATGTCAGGGATTTTCTGCGGGGATGAGGACGGCATGCGAAAACCCATGCCCAGCGTGGCTGAGGAGTATGTGTCAGCATAGAGCGAACCTCCAGGCTTGTAGAGGGAGTCCTCCAAGTCCCCCTGAAGAGCAGCGGCTGAGTAGGTGCTAAGTGAGCGCACAGAGCCACGACGGTACAGGCCACTGGAAACAGGGAAGCTAAAGGGGTCTCCGATGGCAGCTAATGACTGGGTGGAGGCGATGCTGAGGCGACCCTCGTGCATCAGGCTGTAGGGATCTGCGTACAGCGATTCGTTCTTCATCAGGGCCATGTTTTTTGCAGAAACTTCTTCGTCAGGCTTAACATCGCGACGCTCCAGGATGGCGCTGGGTGAGGGAGACAGGCCTGCATTGGCACCGTGGCCAGCTGAGGGATGGTGGGCATGTCGGGGCTGTTCATGCTGGGGATGGGACCCAGCAAAAGAAGGAGGACGGCCCCCACTGTAGGAGAGGCGTGAGCGGGATGGAGAGCCAGAGGACGCTGAGGCCGTAGAGGATGGGAGGGTGTTGAGGCGGCGAGTTGGGGAGGAGTCACGAGAGGAGTACACCATCTCCCTCTGAAATGAAGGAGAAGGGATGAAGGTTACCATGGAGACCTACGGTTGAGAGCACTGCCTTTCCCATGTGTCAGTTTGACATGAAGACCACTAAGATCTGACTGACACCAGACAGGCCGTCACAGATGATGATTAATTTCTCAAAAGACCAATTATTCTTCCAATTGCAGAATTGAGTCTCTAAAAATGTTCTTTGTTGCGGATTGTTGGTTTTTTAATTAGGCCAGTGACAAAATGAAAGAAAAAGGCCAAATTGGAAGAGAGGTCACACTTCTGTACTGAACTCCCTTTCCACAAGTTATTGCCTTTTCGTTACATTACTACAAGCGGGTATTCAATACAAGCAAACCTGAACCTACAATATGTTTTTATTCTATTTAGTAGAGTGGTGACAGAATGCAGGAGACAAAGCTACTCATTCGTAGTGAGGATTGATTATCTCAATGGCCAACATTTTCCACACGGTTTTGACTACCTGCCTTTCTTTGTAGAGCATTATAACGTCTACGTCTAACATGCCTCAATGCTTTTTTTCAACCCACCTCTGCCTCGGTTTTACTCCTGTTGTGATTTCATTTCCACAGCTTTCAAAAACCAAATACTCTGTTTTCCCTTGTCACATAACTACTTTCGTTGGTTAACTCATCCCTGTTTTTCTTCTTTTCATTTGCTTCTCAGCATCCTAGCTAACCTCATCATGCGGCACAATGTTATAAACAGAAAATACTGGAGCGTGACAAAGGAATTTGTGCTGCTGAGCATTTATGCCCACGGGCAAATTCATATACATACTGTATATTCACACAGCTATATATGGTGATTTGGTTTGCACAAACTGTATAGACAAAAGATAAATAAGCAACAAAACAGACACAGCATAAGCCTCAAGTTGCTCCACAAGACAGCAACAGACACAGAACATGCACAGGAGCAAATTAATGGCAAAATGCTTGTTAAGATGCAGCCTGCTTTAAAAAAACATGGACTGTGCATCTGACATTTACTGTGAAAGATGATGGGTACCATTTGATGATTCGGCCAGTAAAAGTGTTGCTGCAAATCATGCCTTGAAGATTTCCTAGTATCAATCACCCTCAGTTTGAGGGTGCATTAAAATGTATATGTGCAGTTTATAGGTGCTGGTCAGCTGTGTCTTCACTGCTTTGTCCTTTTCTGTTTCTTGTATACCCAGGCACAAACATGCACATAAACAAACATACATGCACACACAATATACAAAGGCATAACCGTCATGCCTGTTTGCATGGTTAATAGCAGTTGTATTCTCAGTATTGTGTGAATAATGCAGATGGTAAGCAGGGTTTTGTATAAAATAACGTAAAAAACCGTTTCCCCCTGGTTTCCTTGATCTTCACTGAAGCAGAAATAGCTTCAGATGTTAAAATATGCTCATTTCACAGAGGAACATTGTTCTCTGGTGTCTGCACAGCAACAGATGGCCTACTTGAAGATAAGAAAATACATCTCCAGGAGGAATACCTGTTAAATTACTAACCCACATACACTGCAACAGCCTGTCAAAGTTACCATAAAAATAAAAAAACACTATTTGCTAAAGGAGCACACAGCTCCGCTTTACGCAGAGTCACAGAATAGTAGTGGATGTCCCTAACGGCTCAGTTGTCAGACATCAGACTAGCAGGAGATCAGACAGCAAGAGTTTGCCCTCTTTACCTCCCCACTCCCCCAGCTCCCTTCTACTCACCCTCAGGTCTCCGTTAGCCAGGTGTGCAGCAGCAGGGTAGGAAGCATAAATGGGCTCTTTGCGGAAAATCTTGATGATGCTGCGGTCCTGGATGTCCCGGACGTCTTCCAGCTCATAGAAGACATTGCGGGCCTCATCCTTGATCAAGATGGCCGTGTTGGGGGACTTCAGCATACCTGCTGTCAACTTCTGAGGGAACATGTGCACGATGAGAGCGTGAAGTGTGTCAATGCTGCTCAGCTCATGGGTGATGTGCACCCGACGTGTCTCATCTCCGTACTGCAGGAACAGCACGCCTAAAATAGAGTGATATGGGAGAGACGGTTGAGTCAGAGGGCGACAGCTTTAGTGGATGGAAAGAATAACTAGAAAAGCAATTCTGTCAAAAGTTTGAAAGATATAGTGTCAAATGTAGTGTCAGATACAGTCAATTAAGATCAAAATCTTCTGTCCTTTTGGTATATGAGAATGTGAATTTTAACATCAGATATAAGGGTGAATAAGCACTGAAAGAGTAAACACCAGTAATTCTTTCTGAATGTGAGGACAGGACTGTGGTGGCTGTGTGAGTATTTGCAGCTAAGGTGCAAATACGCATGTCTAAGGAGGGTTGAATTTTTATCACTACTAAAAAAAAAAGTAACTTCCTAGCAATAACATATATGATTACCCAAATATATCCTCACTTCATGGAAACTTTGTCAGATGCTGCAACCCTTGATTTTATAGGTAAAGATGAGTCTGATGCCTGACTAACCTGAATATTCATCTTCATACACCGTGGGACAAACAAAAAGAACAAACAAAGCAAAGAAAGACCAGTGATTAAAATTCAAGCAAAATAAGTGAGATACTGCAGACGAGTTGGGGAGAGAAGAAAACAAGGAAAGTGGTTAGTAAAGAGACATGGAGAGGAGAGACTGGCAGCTTCGCTGTTCTACTTCTGTCTGAACTCATCAGTCACTGCCACTTTAGTTTACCGCCACTTTTTTTTGTATCTCACTGTATCCGAAGTAACACCACACCTTGGTCTTTATGAGTCTGGATCAGCTTCACACTAACTCTCTCTACACTCCCTGCAAAAACATACACTTAGTGCTGTATGTAACACAGTTTTACAGACACCAAAATAGCTTCCTAAACTAAATAGTATGCTTTAATAATTCTACACTTAATGAAGTATACTTTCAAGCTCCTAGTAACCTGCATTTCATGAAACAAAGTTTGCTCACACATTCTGAGTGAATATATTAGGAACATATTGTGTTTCTTGAAAAAACATAATAAACTTGTTATAAATTATCTAGCCATTTCAAAAAGTTCTCTTTAAGCAGAGCAATTAGACTAAACTAAAACTGTTAAGCTAAATTAGGTGAGAGTGTAACACTTCCTCCCATTCTCTGTAAGCACAGCGATTCAAATCACCAGTTACATGAGGTAAACAGACAGCTGCAAATCTGCCTTGAGTCCGACCAGCATGTTGTGACAGAGCCTGCCAGCAGTGCTTCAAATGTTAACCTGGAGATCGTAGCTTATTCTGGCTGGCAGAGCGGGACAGCGGCAGGCTCTGGCGAAATCGGTTCATCCGGTTAAACCCAAGGGGGATGTCGGCTTCTGACATGGTCTCCAAGGATTCAGCGGAGGCAAAGGACAGCTTTGCGGCCTGGTCGGCAAGCCCAGACTGGGTAGACTGGGAATGCCGTGGGCTGCGACTCTGCAGTAGGAGAGGACACATGGAGAAAGACACACAATCATTTACTAAGAGGTGAAATCAAAGCGGAGAGAATGGATTGGATGGGGCAGATGGAGTAAGACTAACCGGAAAAGAGACAGTGAGCAGACAATGAGACATCACACAATGAACCACATAACAAGATTAACAAGACCTTGACAATGGTTTAGCTACCAGCCATTCACTAAGAATTTACTAGCGTCACGGTATCGGACATCATTTGAATGCTGCAGCAGAAAAACATAATATAGTTGTTCTCAGATGGTACAGCACTCCAGGGTATCCGCCTTAATGAATGGCCTACGGTGGGTAAGGAGCAAAATGAAGCCAGAAATTGTGCTCCAGCTTAGTGTAAGTTGTGTCATGTTTGTTCAACTCTGCACACCTCCCACACGGCATCATCCAAACTCTCGTCCCTGTGCCGCTATGAACTATAAACGAGTGCTTGTGGGATGGGAGGAGAAGCTCATGCAAATCCTGGGCTGTCACTGTGGGTTTATCCTGCCGGCCTATGCCCAAGCGTCTCTCACTGAAAGACTGTTAGTGCAGCTGGGGCTGAGCTCACTGAACTGGCTCCCTGATCCCCCACCGCTGTAGCGTCTCCTCCAGCTTAGAGGCTGCTGTAATGAGCTCCCAGAATGCTGTCTGCTGATTGTTTGGATGGCAGAGGCAGGCACATCCTTAGCCACAGCACCGTAGCTGTGCCTGTCTCCTCCTCCTTGCACCATGAACACAACAGTTGTTCACCCCTTTCCAAGGATTTCCTCCTCTCGCTTCTCTGCCTGAGCCAAACTGCAGCATGGATCTACTGTGGCTTTCGTTAATCTAGTATTTAATTAATGTGAGAGTCTGACAGAAGCTACACAGAGGGCCATCTCTGCGCTCATTGACTCTCAGCAGAACTACACAGAACAGACTGATACATCCATTTATGATCGTGTTAATTGGGCAATAAGACAAGGGGTCATACTACACAGTAAACTAGGGCTGCAACTAGAGATTACATTCATACAGATTTCAATTAATTTATTAATTGTTTAGTCCATAAAATGTTAAATAAATTGTAAAATAAATCCCATCTCAAGCCAAACAGGCATCTTCAAATTACGTGTTTTGTCTGACCAACTGTCCAATATCCAAAGTTATTTAGCTTCCAATGATATAAAATCAGAAAAAAGTGTGTCATATTGGATAAACTGAAACTAGCAAATGATTTTTAGTTCTAGCCATGCAAAAGGCCTGGGATGGGAATGCCACTTTGGTCCAGACTCAAATATAACAACTTTTGTAAAGACATTTATTCCCATCAGCCTCAGCCTTACTTTGTGTTTCATGCTAATTAAGAAATATTAGCATGTAGAGCCTCAAAGAGCCACTAGGGGGGCTTTATAGACAAAGTCTTGCTTGATAACTGGGATAACAACACTGTATATAAAGTTGGACAACATGGCAGCTCCCCAAAAGTGAAGCCAAGGCTACAGTAAAGGAAACAAAAAAAAAATCTAAAAGCAGGTCAAATCTATTATCGCAAAGATGTTTTTTTTATTTTAGATAGCTAATGTTTGTTCAACTGTTTTCTTATAATTTAAACTTTAATTAGTTATTTGATGCTATAAAATTATGTGATTCAGTCTGCTGGGTGTACGGGCTGGACCTTAATACCGCAGCTCACTACTGCACAGACTCAGGCACCAAATTATGTCACCAGCTCAACATGGCAGTGCCCATATCTGGGACGCAATAATTTTTTCCCTGGGATGGAGAAGGCATGGCCTCTGCCTGCGACTGACTAGTATTCGTTGCCTTTGTTAGTTGGGTAGGATAGGTTTAGGCAAGAGGAATGTGACTGGTTAAGGTTAGGGTAAGAATATCAGAGTGGGCCAATCAGAGGCAGAGTAGGGTGGGTCATGCCTTTGTCATGCTAGGAAAAAGAAACTTTGACACTTTGCTGGTTTTCTCTGATTTATATAATTAAACTAAATAACTGGATAATGGACTGTTAAACAAAACAAGCAAGTTAAATGACTGCTGATTAAACTTTGGTCAGTCAATTAACTGACAAATATTTGCTACACTACAGTAATCTAAACTAAATGGGCCCTAGCGACATGTAACTACTACTATCACTGGTGAATTGCTCTTTCAATTACCTGCTTTGCTATCACGTGTGTGTTTACAAGGCAAATTAGAAACCCCCATCAGGACTGAGAAGCGGAACAATCCTTTTTATAATGTACCCTCCTTCTGTCACTATCATACATAATTCAGTCACACACACCCACACACACACAGAATAATAGTGGGGGTGTTCAGTGATAGTGTTGGCAGACAGTGTCTGAGCACGCAGAGGGACGGTGATGCTGACAGATAACCCCCACCATGTTTTCTAATAGGGTCATTTATCTAAACTGTGACCACACTGAACAACAACACAGCCAACAGCACCACAGAGGAGTGGCACGTACTGCAGTGTGTCATATTCTGGCCAGCTACAGACAGATACAAAACATTAGGGGTTAGATACAGTACTTTACATCAGGTATATTTAAAGTTGGGGTTCATTCACATTGTCTCAATCGAGTACTGAATCTTCTTAATGAATTAGTTCCTTTTTGAATCCATTCTTTTGTAAACTAGACCACGTAACTCCAGTCCTCCGAAACCTTCTCTGTCTACCTGTATTTTTTTGGGATACAATTCAAAACACTCTTCTTGGTTTACAAAGTACTTGCTGGTCCGGCTCTGCAGTACATTTCAGACATGCTGTCAGTTTACAATACCAGCAGATCTTTCCTGTCCCAAGATGGAAATCTCCTCCATGTGCCTAGGGCATTTTCAAAGTACAGGTTGATCTTAGACTTGCTCCAACACTGTGTTTCTTTAGAACCAAACTAATGACCTGGATCCAGCTGCCTGACCCAGTCGGACACTATAACTCAGTGACACCCATAAATAGATCTGGCATGTCTAAAACATGTCAAAGAAGATTTTTTATGGACTATGTGTTCATTTCTACTCCAAAGCTGAGAGAGAAACACAGAGCAACCATCTTGAATCATTCTACTATTGTATGTGAGTATTTTATTTCAAGTCTCTCAACAACTAATGAACGCGCTGCTGAACAAGACAATGAAACCCCAATGTTCTTAGTCAGCTTGCCTTGTTACAACAGGCTCCAAACATTGACTTCCATATTGCCGTTTTTTGTGATACGACAACTGAAAATCTATCTCTGCAATAATTTTGCATTGTAAATATTATATGTGAACACACCATCTGGTCATGCATCTGGTCCTGCTAGACATGCCAGTGTTATACACAATACTGTTCACAGCTGCCTTTGAGGGAAACTGGTTCTACCTCCTTCTCATTTTCCTCTACACCTGCCTCCTGCCCTCCCTCCATCCAGACTTTTTCAACAGCACTCAATTACTGTCGAGAACTCTACACTGTTATAAGGGCACGGCGGAAGAGAGGAACAAGTAAGGAACAGGATGATCTTACACAGAACAGAAGCGAATGGAGTGGAAAGCGGGACACAGACCTTAGGCTATAAACCGCATTAAATTCAATGCAACCACCCACCATGTTGTCTCTTGTTTCGTGTGCTTGTATACACAGACATGAACACATTCACGCACACACAGTTTTAAGGTCAAGAGATGGTAGCCTTGGTATATGGCTTTTTATGTTTGGGAGAGAACATCTCATCAAACTACATCTGACACTTCAATGTTGTCTGGAAACCTCTTAACCTTGTAGAATGGGTCACAGAGACTTCAATATTAAAGTCAATGTAAACACTGATTTGCAGTTCACCCACAGAATGTTTTGGTGAAAGATGCAAAGAGATAAAAATATCTATACATACTGTAATGACACAGTGTGGATGCTTCTTGGCCAATTACATGGAAAAGTATCAGTAAACTATTTAGAAAAGATATTATGTCATGTTCTAAGAACATGTCCCTAAATTGGTTACGCCAACTAAGTTTACAATCGGGCTGGATATCTGTCAGATGATTTGTCATTTAATGTGCTGTTTGGGGCGGGGTCACAAGGTCTGAATCATCAACGATATGGCTCTCGGAGGGATTTCTGTTATGTCAAAATTTTTGGTTGGCTGTTTGAGCAGTTCCATGGTCCGATTTCCCACACGGCTGCTGACAAAAGATCTGTTATAAACTATAATGAATTTGTTTTAATATTAATTAATATTATTATTTAAGACTGCTGTGATACATTACATATTGTCTGCTTCATCAGCCATCTGCGGCTTCAGATTTTTCCGTCTTACTTTTCCTTCATAGTAGACTTGCACAAAGAAATGGTTAGATAGTTGAGGTCGTGGTTGTTGTTGTTTAAGTTCAGTACAAGCAACCGGGTTGCAGCCGTTCCATTGATTCATACAGTGTGAGCACAAAAGTCGCAGTTCAGATTTAAATAAGCAGTGTTAAAAAGGTAAAACAAATTTAAGGTGCAAAATTTCAACAGATTATATGACAGTCTTGCACATGCAACAAGCAGAAGAGCAAATATGGATGATTTAGACAGCCAAAAAATCATACTAGCAAGACTGTAATTGTCTAGGTTGTGGTTTGGTAATTGGATGGTTTAATCCAGAGGTAAGCTGATTGCACATTTGCTTCAGCTAGAATCTTTTTGCTAGGATGTTTGATGTTTTCCCTGAATGTGCTAATTTCCCTGTTAAACTGACATGATATTCTACTGAACTTGAGCAAAAAGAGGATATAGGTAATCCAGAAATTTCACAGATAGCTTAATATGTGTGATCAGACAGCGAAGTGTTTGGCTCCTGGATATTACTTGAGAGACAGGTGTTAAATGGTTAATATCACAACCTTAACCATATCCATTATTTTATCCTCTAACTTTTTCTTGTTTCTCCTTCTAATGATAGCTTTCTCTTATTCAAAAGATTTGCCTCCAGTTGTCTTCCTTCTTTTCTTTACTTTTTATCCCCTGTGACTCTTTTATCATCTCCCACCACTCCCAAAGCTCCCTTTTGATTCTTGCTGAGCTGCTTTTAGGGCTGAAACGATTCATCTTTTAAATCGATTAATTCAATTACAAAAAAGCATTGACGCAAATAATTATATAGCACACTGTTTCGCACATTCGACATTTATTACTGCCACACTTCGCCCACGACGTGATTACGAAGTGGTGAGAGAAAATAGCAAGGGACGAAGAAGAAAGTGTCCAAAATATGGGATTATTTCACGTTAAAAGAAGACAACAACTTTGTAATGTTACAGTCCGTCCATCAAAACTTATGTGGCCTACCTCAACAGCACGATGACATCTGATTAGAAAGCACCCGGTCTATCATCAAGTCCACACAGCAGACCACAGACAAGGTAACAGTAACAGCAACTTTAGCATTTAACTGAAATCATGATTGATTGATGAGTTCAAGGCTAGCCAAAGTAAGCCGCAATCCTCAGCTGTAAATGTATACATGTGCGTTTGTTGTTTTCCAACTGGTTGGGCCATGAGTTTGGATTGTAACGTCACAATCATGAGTTTGGGGCACCGCCGCCAAGCAAAAGTACTTCTTAAACAATGCATCGATGAAATAATCTGTAAGCTCGAGTCCTAAAATCATCGTTAGCTGCAGCCCTAGCTGCTTTACGTCAACATATCTGCCTCCACATTCGTCTCTCGTGGCAGAGGCCAAAGCCATATCCAGGTGTCATGCTTGTGCTGCTGCTGTCTAAATTTGAGGATTTTGAGGCTGCATTGTCTCCCTTTACCCATAATGTGGCCCTTTCTCCACACAAACAAAGAACACAGCTCTCACTTTTAGAAAATGGAGAGAGAAAACAGGTCCAAAAATCAACCCATCTCTCACATCTGTTTGTGACCACCTTGTCTACTTGCTCTTCGCCCACTATCATTATGTCTCTCCATCTTTTTCAACTCTCTGGCCCATCTTCTGCCAGGACACACAATCTCCAACCCCAAAACACCCCTAGAGTCCTGTCTCTTTATAATACCGGGAGTCATCAATGCATGGAACAAATTGCTTTACCAAATTGCTGTGAATTTTGCTTCTGTGCAATTGGTTTGTTCAGAAGGAGAGGGAGCAAAATGGCGTTCTCTTCCAGAGGGGAGATGATGGCTGAGATTGCTGGTAGTGATTCTTTTGTTTCTGATAGAGAAAAAGTAGCCTGAAAACATGGCGAGAAGCTACATGTTCTAGACAATTTCTTTTTAGATACAAATTTAACTGTGTCCCATGTCCAACACCTGTAACTGTTGGAAGGCTTGTGTATTTAATATACTATTATCTGATAAGATCTTTAATATTCATATTTATTTCGACAGGTAAAACAAAATTGTGTTGTATAATCCGGATAGCAGTTTAATTTACTGTTTATTTTCAGGCAGGAGAATCCAGGGAGAGAGTCAAGCTCAGATCAGCGCTAGTGGGGATGAGGGGCTTTCAGAAGCTTTAGTGCAAAATGAAGAAAACGGAGAAGGATGAGTTGTCAACATAAAATGTGTCAACAACAGAGGTTGTGTTGAAAGCAAATAGCTTTAGATCTGTTGCAGAATGGACCATTTTGGTTGTTTCATTCTACATTTTAATACCGCTGCTGCACCTTGTGGGGACAATAATTAAATTCTAACTGTCTCTGTTCAGTGATTAAACTTGGTTTTGGCTGCCGCAAAGCAACATCAAGCAATTCTCTCACACTCTCAACAGAGCAGCAACTTACTGTACTAAGAAGTGCAAGTCACCAAAAATAAGAAATATACATTTTTTGAGTTGCAACAGTTAGTTGATTAATTGGTCGGAAGAATCAGATTTACTATTTTGATAATAAAATAGCTGTTTCAGTCAACTTTGACACAAAACCTACAATAATTTTCTGGTTGCATCTTTTATAGTGTGAATATTTTCTGCTTTGTTGATCTGTTTAACATTTTTGGAATTTGGACAAAGCAACACATCAGAACAAGCCAACTTGCCTCTCAGAAATGATTGTGATTATTACGAGTTTTCAATATTTTTTTAAAAATGTTTTCAGAATTGTTGGAAACGCATTTGATTCTTTTCTCAAATAATAACAGAAGTTGATTGTTTGACATTAAAAGTTTAACTTTTATACTAGCATATCTACAATGTTTGGTATACCCCATGAAAGTCCTGCAGAATTCAAGCTGTTTGATTGTGTAATAGATTTATGTGAAAGACGGGGCACTACATTCTATTTCATATCACTGTTGTTTGAGGTTAAAGTACTTGTGGAAGTGAGGAATAAATTGCTTAGCCTTCCTCATGGGTCAGGGCATAAGGCTATTGATATTCAGTGACATTTCCACCCTGATCAAATGATATTGTGAGCAGGGATTCAAGGAAGACTACACCGCAGATAAGCCTGGGGCTCTTCCTTCACACACCCACACACAAGTTTACTCATGTCACTTTTGGGGACATTACATAGACTTAATATCATTTCCTGGAATTTAAAAATCAGCGTTTTGCAAGCTGTCCCCAATTAAATGGTCTTTAGTCTAAAATGTGTTCCATAAATTAGCATCAACCCCCCCCCCCCCACACACACACACACACACACACACACACACACATTTATTCTTTAAATTCAGCCTTAGTGGTATACATTTTCAATACATTTTTATGCAGGCTTTCTCCATACAAACAATATTTCCTCTCTGCAACCTGTGGGTAAAACACTTTCAGGAGGCCAACCATGACTCAAGCCTCTGTGCTAATGTCAAAGCATTATTTCAGTAATTCCTCAGCAGCGCGTCTGAAATGTCTTCTTAATGTCTCAGTCAGTCTGAGTAATACTTCAGCAAGGTCACATGCCTTCCAGTCATTAATGCAAGCTGACTGAGGTATCATAAATCCTGAGAGATTCGTCTTCTGCAGATTAAATGGAGCTGGAGAAGTTTAAGCTGTCGCCACCTCTGACACCCCTGCCACTGCAACCCCGCCCCCCCCCAACACACACACACAGCCTGAAGAGCTGAGAGATGCCAAGTGAGCTGGTGTTGCATGAACCAGAGGACCAAGGAGGCTGGTGATGCCAGAGGAGTCTGGTGTGATCCCACAGCACAGAACAAACACAGACACATTCACATTCACATTCTCACACACACACACACACACACACACACACACACAATGGACAGGAGAATAAGAAACGCACAGGGACACTCAGACACGCAGCACTAACCTTAAAGCTCCAGTAGTTGGGCTGTTGCTGTGGAGTTCATGAAGGACAAAATAGGGAAGGGAGGGAGACAGAGAGAGAAAAGTCAGATACTTATTCTCTAATTATGGCCTCAACAAAAAACAAACATTTAAAAAAATGGTGCATGGAACCAGCTTCACTGGAGATGAGATAGAGTCTGAATGCAGGCTTTTGGCATAAAAATCCAATGCATCCTCTCCAAAGAACATCATCAGTTGTGTTTTCTAAATTGTTTTTGTGTAATGTGCGACAGGCTATTTATGAACCTCATTTATATTGTCGACAGCTTCATCTAATGCGACTATCTAAGCCACGATCATTAAGTTTGATTGGCGCTAACGCAGGGAGTGGCTGTGTTTTGCATTCATCGGGTTACAGCACACCTGAAACAAGATTGCGCTGTTGGCTGTAACTGGTGAAGGGGAGGAAATGAAAAGAGTGAAATCGAGTCAAACAGCAGCCCACTCTGTTGTATCAACGTTGGCCTTTTTCCCAGACTTCTCCACCACACGCAAGCAACCACTCTGTCTCCCCCTCGCTCTCTACCGTCTCTTTTGCTCTTGATCCACCTGCCGTGTTTTTTTTTTCCATGTGAACCTCCTCCACCTGCTTATTTTCACCAGCCCATGCGGTATCCATTTGGCCTTCCTGCTGCTCTGCCATGAATGAAAAGGTGCTCGCATGTTGGCCGAGGCCTCAGGAAGTGAGCTTTCCATTAAAACATGATTACCCCACAGTCATAACCAGGCCAAGCCACTGATGGCCCAGAAATACCTCAAAATGACATGGAAAATTAAAAAAAGATTGAGTTCATGAATTTTAATTCTAATCCTAACTCTTATTTCTTATTCTTATCTGCAGGCAATTTTCAGTCCATTCAGCCTCCCTTCTGTAGGACTCACATTACTTTCCTGGCGTAGGGATGAATAAAAGTGACAGGCAAGTTTTGATTTATGATAGTTGGTGGTATTTCATTATGAGCCTTCCATTTTAATACTGTCTCAACAAAAGCCTCGATTATATCAGTAAATACGAGCATCAGAAGGAGCGTTTTTTTTAACTGATTATGACCTTATTGTAGTCTAATCCTTCATTTAAGGTTCCCTCGTGTGGGCCTGATGCCATTCTTTTCAGACTTTTTCTTTCTCTTTGTTCTTTATCTATTGAGGTGCAATGCCTTGCTTAGTTTTGTTACAATATCAAGTGTTATATTTATACTAATCCAAAGAGGTAATGCTTCCTGGCCAAGAGAACACTGAGCTATGATTAACTAACATCTGGTCAAAGACAGTACAGATTTTATACAGGCTGGTGTCCATAATACTGCCTGGTATTGATATGTACATGTACACACCATCATACTGTATGTACATAGTATGCACACAATAACATCGTGTCTACACGCGTTTCAGGAATGTTTTCCAGCAATCCATCTCATGGATCTCATGGACATCTGACGGAACAGATATGCTCCTATTGTCATTAATACAGCTGTCTACACAGGCCACGTATTGGCTAGAGTTTCACTTGCTCTATATTTGTGCTTCAAATGCATTTTCTTTGATTTATGTGTAAAACTACAAATACTGTGTGTTTGGCTCGGAGTGCTGCCAAAACCTGGGTGACCTACACCCAATAATGTGCCTGAATGCATCCTGCGTAGATGCAGTGCACTGCACGGTGTCTACGTCTCCTGTGTACACACAGTGTTAGACTTTGTGAAGTTATATTGGCTGTGTTATTCCAAAGAGAAAAGGTTTGTAACCGTGAGTACGTGCTCCACTTCTGCTGTGCAATGCATCGTGGGACAATATTGTTGTTTATTAATTATTACTTCATGCACCTGCACCCTTGTGGCACTTGTGTCAGGTGGAAAATGGAGTACTGAAGCACGTATTGTGGAAGGCTTCTCCTTGATCTATCAGCGCCCTGGGTTGTACCTCATTTGTTCATCACTTTGGACAAAACCACTGGCCAAATGTAATGTAATTCCAATAGCACATTCAGAAACCACGCAAATTTAATATGCATACTGGCATCTTTGAGTACACTAACTTTTGTTAACTTTTCCGGTGTAAGCGCACTACAGACTCAAAACCTGCTTAGAATTAATACTAGTGTTAGTAAAATCATTGCATGGAAATGGGACACAACACAGTCATGGTATAACAAAAGTAGGGGTTGGACTCAATAATGTAACCAATTAAAATTCTACAAACTATGACATAAAAACAACTGTTGAATGAACACTTGTCTGAAATTGAAACCTGACCAAACTTATTAAAAACTGCATTCTTCTTCTAGCAGCTATTTTATGGAATTTTACTGGGTATGATTGTGTCCACCAAACACTGTTTCACAGGGATTCAAAATTATATGAAGCATAATCTCAACCCAGGCGTCCTTTTCCACATAGCATATACATTTCTACCAACATACAGTATGTCAAAGCACTTATCCTAAAGACTACTCTTTGATGTGATGCTGAAGACAATTTCTGTCTCCTAGCTAGCTGTTCAGGGGGGTTTTTGTTTGTTATTTTGTAATTGCCACATATTGTCGCTGTCCACTGAAAACCATGTACATCTAATGTCTGAAGGATTAAATTATTCATTATGGGTTAATATAATTATAAAAGTATCACCTTTAAAAAAGCCAATGCTCTCAAAAATACATTATCACATAGCTTAAACCAAGGCTGTCTTACATTTCAAAAAGTTCAGTGAGAGATCTGAATCTATAAAACATCTCAACCTCCTCTGTCAGAAAGCTAATTCTCAGTCAGACTCAGGGGTGAGAGGTCACAGGTGAAGTGGGTGACTTTCAGAGATAAGATAATACATGAGCTTGTTTCAGGTTAGATGAGCTTGTTTCAGCCTTGACTACCTGATCATGTGTCATTTATTCTGTGTAGCCAGCCAGTAAAAGTTTGTCCTTGACAATCTCTTGAACTGACAGCAGCTCAGGGGCAGCATTGGTGCGTCATAAATAACTGCTGTTCACTTGTTCAGAAAACATTAATGATTCTATTTTCCCACAGAGCTAAATGACTCTGAGGGCTGGCTTTAATGGTGTAGAAGTGATTTGTGGTCTTGTGTGTCTGTCTCAACCAGTGTTTCTCTGTTTGTTACCCTAATGAGGCTTACTCACAGTTCTCAGGTAAAGTAAACAAATTTTTTCTTCATCGCCTCATGTTGTTCTAACCGTTGCTCTGCTGACAGCTGCAGATACACTAATCTTGGACTTTCAGTTGCAAATACTGCACTGAGAGGGTGTGTGTGAGAGCAAACTCGAGAAGGCCTATTTCAATGTATGTTATTACACAAGACATTGTTTTATACTGTTAATCATTATCACACTCACTCATGAAAGCCCAAACTCTTGAATAAGGCCCTACTACTTAGCTTGAATGTACATCTTGTAATTTTTAACCTCCTGTTGAATTAAATGTGCTATGAGCCCCAAAGAGACTTTCTGATGTACGTCTGTCAGACTAAATGTCAAATGTATGTCAGAATAAATTTGGGTCTGTGGGGTTAAATGCATTCCTGACTGCTAAGTAAAGACACCCATATGTACATTTACACACAGGCGTGTATGTACACTGGCTGGAGTTCGCCACAGAGGGACGTAGACTCGCAGAGTGGAGCGCTGCATTACCTGACCAGCATGTAAAGCAGGCTGCACTCACACCACCCCTCCTCCACCCCCGTCACTTTCTCATGTCGTCATCCTCTCTGCACCTGCGCCCCCCATTTCAAACATTCTTACTCTTTCCCCCTCAACCCTCCTTTGGTCTAGTTTGGTGTCTTGATGTTACCGCAGCCTCTCTCCATATCTCTCTCTGTTTTGAAAACACCTGCACTCGTCTGCACAGCAAATTAACGCTCACCCAAACATGCGCACAGAAGGCTCTTTGTGTAGTTTACAGTATTGTCCACTCAGCCTTCGTCTAGCTTGGACTGCCTGCTGAGCATACGCACACCGTCACCACAACAACCACAACAAACAACAGCCGTGGAATCTAATCCCAGCTGGCACATCCTTATCCTACACACACATCCCTCTCTACAACAGCCTCCGGCTTCCAGTTTCAAGCTCCCAGTCCCGTCTCACCTGCAGTGCACCTGTGCCTGTCCAACACTCCAGTCATCCCAGGCTGTCCGTCAGGTGCAGCGAATCCTCATCCCGTTTTTGCCCGACTCTCCCTCCCTCTGCTTCTCTAACCCTCCCTCCCTCTTCCTTACTCAATCTCCTTCTCTCTTCTTCTTTCTCACCCTCTCTCTCTCTGTCTCGCTCTCCAGTAGCACATGCAGCGGAAACTCTTTATTTAATTCATTACAACACCAGCCGATTAACTCCTTCGCAGATGGGTGGCTGGCTCCTGCTGGTGCTGGCTAATTGAGCAGCGGGCTGCTTGACTGGCTGCTGCGCTCCTCTCCAGCTCCTCCCCGCCCTCCCCCCTCCTTCTTCGCTGTCCATGCTCTGCACATCCACGAGATGACAAGGAATCCTGGGCTCCGCTGCTTCCTCCCCATGCAGTGAAAATGCCCTGTCACTTTAGGAACTGTCCACTCTGCTGCAAAAATTTCAACTGTCTGTCTCCCACTATTGACGCCTCTCTCCCTTCTGTCTTCATTATTGTACAATTCCTCCTTCTCTACAAAACCTGACCTTTGCAATGCGATATCCCTACTTGCCATTTATGAGAGAGGTTGCCATGGCAACTATGGACTCCACCTGTCTTTCACCCGCCCACCCTCGCTCACTCGCTCTCTCTCCCTTTCATTCTCTCCCCTGATGTGCTTTTCTCTCTTGTCACTACATTGAATTTACCCTTTTTTAAATTCACACACAGCAGTGGTGCTCACACAAAGAGGGAGTGTGTTTGTGTACAGTTTAGTATTTTCATGTGCACGTGCATGTGCATGTGTGTGTACGTGTAAGTGACATAAAAAAGAGAAAGCTGTTTACTACATTTGAAGGGGGAAAAGATTTGATAAAAACACTAAGAGCAAAGGACAAACATTATCTCAAAGTGTTTAGAGAACTTCATTAGCATATGTGCAATCAATTCGTTTGTGTATGTGACTACCCATCTTCCTACACACCTCAGTGTCAGTCTCGCCCTCTATGTAAAGTTCTGCAGGTTCTGGCAGCAGAGACACAAAGAAAAGCTTGGCTGTGACAGTTTAATGACGACCTCTAATAATACAGATACAAAGATCACCTCAATTACTTCAATGAACACAATGTGCTGCTTTTGCTCTGGGTGTTATCTGACAAGAGACTTTTTGCTGCAGGATGACACATATGACGCCACCCAAAAACTGTATACATGATGGGCCTTTGTGTCTCTACATGTGACATCATTTTTCTGTAGCCAAATCGACAGCGGTGACCAGTTTGATTGCCAAAAAACACAAAACATATACTGACACCACATGAAGTGTCACATGTATTGCTAAACGCCGGTAAAGTGATGAAAAAAAACAGACACATGAAATGTATTAATTAATAATTGAACATTAAATGACATTGGGATAATACACATAGTCAGACAATTCTTTTCAAGGGTAACAAATCATCATGAGATGTGAACTGCATACCTGTTCTCGTGCAGACCGCTCTGATGTACCCCTCATGCTGGTGTGGGAGGGTGAGGGTGAAGGTGGATTGTGGTGCGGGCTGTGGTGCGGATGCTGCTGAAGCTGCTGCTGCTGCTGGTACTTGCTCTTCAGGTGATCCATGAAGGCATCCCTCTTCCGTTCCATATCAGCCTTGTGCAGATTGGTCAGGGCCTCCAGGCTCTGGGCGGCACTGACGGTGTGCCGGTGCTCCGAAGTGTGTACGAGGCCCACATTGGAGAACCGCCGAGCGCTGTTCCCCAGCGTCCGGTACTCCCGTGGATATTCCAAGTCATCTGTAGAGATCATGTGACTGCCACCACGCTCGGGATCTAAGGAATGAGGACAGAAGGGGGGAAGAGAGGATGAAGGATGGGAAGAAAATAAGGGAAGGGAAGAAAGAAGGAAGGGTTGGAATTTGTGCGAGAAAGAGGTGAATCACCACCCACACAAGCATGCAGAAAGATTTCAGGGTGGAGATGCACATACACACAGAGCAGGCACACACAGGTGGAAACAAATGGAGCAGAGGGAAGGAGAGTGGACAAATAAGGTACAGGAGAGGACAGGAGAGAGAGAAAGAGAGAGAGAAAGAAATGGGATGGGATGTTAGACTATTTGCCACCAGGAAGGAGCGGTTCCCTGCAGAATTATTGATTTCAAGTTCTGAAGGGAAGAAAAATGAGAAAAGTAAAATGCTTCTGCAATAGATCAAAGGAAGAGGCTCAAACTGAATTTGTTTTGCTGGATATTCCACTGTGATATGCCTGCTTTTCATCTTAAGTGGCTTTCATTGTTTTCTTGGGAAACAGAGAAAAACAAAATACTGATTGAAAATCAACTGGGAACATGAAGGAACACTTCTTTCATTGTCTGTGTTCTCACTCATTCTCACCAACTCCTGTCCATCTATCTGACCTTTCCCTCCATCCCTTGAACCCTCTCCCACTTTCTCTACATATTGTCACTGTCCGTTGTCTGGAGGTTACTGATTCTGCTGTCCGTTTTTAAGGAGGCGCATCACTCTGACAGCCCTTGGCCCTTAGCCCTTTTATCAGGGCTCTAACTGACAGACAACATAGCCAGAGGTGGAAGGCACAGGAAGGGAAGGGAGACAGCCGGGAGGGGACTGTGTGGGTGTGACAGGAAATACAAATGAACTTAAGTGTGATAAAAGAGAAGGGAGCCATTCGCCCGGTAAGTTACCTTGTTTAGGAAAACAGGCCCCGGCGTTGGCTAGAAGAGAAACATGCCAAGGGTTAATTTGTGTGTTTGTGCACAGATGTGCAAGCAAACACACCAGAACACCGTCACATGACCATCAGAAAAGAGCTATTGTGAAACAATAGCCCTTTCTCTGAATTACAATCAGTTAATGCATTATATATGCATTATAATGAATTCATAAGGGTACACATAGGGTAATGGTTTGCTATGAATACTAATAGTGTCTTACAATAACCGGGAGAATGGTAAATGAATATTGTATATCATGCATTTTTACACTGAAAAAGTTCATAAATAATGTTAACTCTGTATAAACTTCCGATTTTAAGCAGGTAGAAAAACAATCAATTCAGAAATTCATAATAAAAAAATCTGTTAACTCTGGTTAAAGTAAAAGCATAAAAAGTGCTGAGGCTTAATAGGGCTGAATGAAGTGGACCATCTGTACATTAAAGACTCATCAGCAGCATTAGGATGAGCTGAGCAAGTACGCAGCAGAGGGAGGCTCCTCGGGGCAGGAGCAACAAATGGACTGTTAATGAACGCAGAGGAAGAGAAGAGGAAGCTCACCAGATGGAGCCCCAACAGAGGTGCAACGCTCTCCAGCGGACAAACCTTAACACAGAGAAAGCCTGTTAAGGGCAGAAGGTCTGCAACCATTCAGAAGCAGCAGCAGTCAAACTACGTGCTCGTTGTAAACCCATTTCTCACTCTATTCATTCTTGGAGCGATAACGAACAACTCAAGTGTGATCAGCTGTTTCAACACCATGCCCTTACATCCACAACATTATGAAGTTCTGATAAACTGAGCACGGGTGAGGCAAAATGGACTGACCTCCTGGCTAATAACATTAGCATTGAGCTCTCCTCTGCGCACCAAGGCTGCCGGCCATATTCATCTGGCCCCCTCACAGCCTCCCAGATCTTGGGTTTACACTTCATTAGGCTGGAGCTTATTGTGCATCAGCTAACAAGGACCTGACTCAAGGGCCCCATTACAATGGCTGGCACAGCTGGGTCTATGTACTATGGCTTATTATTGTGACTGAGCATCAGCAACAACAAAAAGCAGAGTAGTGTATGCTACCTCTGGACAAACATAAACCTGCAAAGAGAATGAAACGCTGTATCAACAAAACAATATCAGAAAAATTAGTGGTATCAATTTAAGAGAGTCCTGATAGAAGTTAAAATGCTAAACAAGTTAATGGGTTGCAGATACATGAAATGAATTTAATTCTGTTCAAATGTGCACCTCCTTGTCCCACTGGTTTGGAATACAGCCCAACAACTTTCCAAACTGCAGTTTGTGGATATACTTTCCAAAGCTGTATACAAAGCCCTCATCTTCAAGACAGCGGGAGTAAAAGTTGTGTGGGCTGGAGAGTAAGAATAGAAAATGGGAACAGGTTATTCATCCTTACTTTCGTCATTCACAGCCAATATATTTCCACATAAGCTGGCAGACAATAACCCTGACAGCCAAAACAATCTGTGCAAGCCCACGCAATGCCAGCATCATTTAAACCTACATAAAAGAGCCTTGATGGGGTGGGTTTCTGATGAACGCTTTATCACAAGCACTGTCTGTCAACAAGTCTGGGTCTGCAGCAGACCAAATTGCAACTACAAAGACTCAGAGCCTCCAGGAGAAGGTGCAGCATGTTGGTCAACGAAATAATAGAGGACCCGAATGACAACAGGAGCCTACAATCAGAACCGATAAGATCTGTCGGCTCGGCCAATGAGGCCTGGGCTGCACTGCGAGATAGAGAGCACAGTCAAGAGCATTAACCTGCCTAAATAAAAAGAGCCCGCTGCGGTGGGCATTGAGCGATAAGAAAAGACAAACAGTCAAGGAGAAATCACCTGCACAGAGAAAAAGATACCGCTAGGCAAAACAAACTAACAAAAAACAACTCCTAACAACCAATACAGCCTGTTTAGGCAGTCCTACCACATTTCTCTGGGTTTATGCAAAAAATAATCAAACCTAAAACCTCCTTCCATAAGGGGAGCTTGGTCCATTGATTGAAGAAAGATGACGAATGGATTTATAATTAACAGAGAATTTCCCTACAGATTTTTTAATATCTGTCTGCATTACATTGAGCTCTATTCTCAACTTTTCAAGTCACCAGTCTCCACCTACACTTCAGCAGGTTATTTATATATGTAGGGAAATTCATTCCGTGACAAGCGGCATTTGCCAACCCACCCACAACAACACATACATAATAATAATGTTCTGTATCATCACAGCCAAATCTGGGACTATGTACTTCCAAAGGGAAAGGTGGTTTTTTTTTGCTGGTGAACTCTACTTTCAACTCAGGAAGGGAAGTTGTTGCTCATCATATGCATGGACATATGTTATGGAGAATCAGGAGGTGAAAAGTGGATTGGGTGTGCTTTGATGGATTTGGAAGAGGCAGGCGGCGTAACTTTATATCTTTGGGCATGTTAAACAAGTGGGTCAGAGGGAGAGGAGGGTGTAAGAGAGGCTTCAAGTCTCACAGAATGATAAGAAAGCTGCAAACTGCACATACCCAAACACAGCTCTGGATTCTTTAATAACTAAACCTAAATTCACAGGTACTTCAAACATTTTGACTATATACTTATTGTCACATATGCAGCTACAGCTTGAGGCTACCTGAGTCACTCCTGTATTAATATTGTTTTGGAAGAGAAAGGGGGATGCAAATATGCATACACTATGCATACAAAAGCATCTAGAAAACGCTATGTTAACTGTAGTTAATGTCAATTAGGGCTGCAACTAACAATTACTTTCATTATCAATTGATCTTCAGATTATTTTACTCCATTAATCAATTAAATCATTCAGTCTGTAAAATTTCAGAAAATAGTAAACAAAACCCATTACGTTCAAAGAGTCCAAGGTGACCCAAAACCCAAAGATATTTAGTATACTATATGACAAATAAATAAATAAATAAAACAGCAAATATTCACATTTGAGAAGCTAAAACAGGAGAAAATGACTATTTAATTATAAGTAATTGATAATCAAAATAGTTTTTTCTATCTAATGGCTACTTGATTCATTTACTAAACTTTTCAACAAAGTCGTTTCCTAGACAGGTCTGTTTTTGAGGGCTTCACGGCTGAGAAATGTTACTTACTTATGTGTATTACTTCAAATGTAGCTCTCTGAATAGTGTCTGTCTCAATTCTTTAACACATACAAGGTCTTCTGGATTGTGCACTTTCAGACATCAGTGAAAAGAAGTAATGTGGTAATATCGGCTTCTCTACTTGACACATATGGCTTTTCACTGTTTATTACAATTAAACCAAGCATTTCTCTGTAAAGGAATTATTCTTGTGACTACTCTTTCACTCTTCGGTGTTAAATCGTGTCATGGAAAGGGGCCAGTTTCTCTGATAGTCCAGTTTCCCTACCCAGAAGGCCTGTTGTTATGCAGACGCTTGTGGAAGGCAAGGCGAGGCCTTCCCTCCGATACACGCAGCCTAATTTACTGCAAAGCATGGCAGGGCTCCTTGTGGGATGCCGGCTGTGACAGCACAGGGTAGATATACCAGCTGAATATTAACCAGAGAAGAAGGAGGGAAGAAGAAAAATCAAGCAGAAGTAGGTGAAAACAGCAAACTGCAAATCCAGCATGTCGATTAAGGCTACCGGCAACAGGAAATAAGCCAATCAGCAAGGCCTACAGCTATTGGCAATTGTAACTCTATGTGCTCCAGTGGGAACGATTAAAACAAATAACTAGAAGGAGAGAGGCATGGCAGGATTAAATATAACCTTTTGAAAAAACACTAAACGGGGCTTTAAAAACCCTGCAGGTCACAACTCAAGAACCAACTGGGGGCTGCAGTTCAACATGTACTAACCCTTAAAATGACAGCTGTGGGCCATCTTGCCCGCTACCTTCTATATGAGGTTAACATGCTGATGTGCTAGCTGTTAACTCTCTACGTTGTTGCTACAATGACTTTCCCTGCTACATAATTACTAATCCTACAAAAGAAACAAGTGATTGCCAAGTGGCACTCATTCTATTGACTGCAAGCTGTCACATGAACCTTGAAATTTACTACTGCATGTGGAATTCAATGAATAGCCAGTGAAAACGTGACTCTGAACTTGAGAGAGGAACTTTTGTTTCCATCTCTCTTATCTTGCTCGTTCAGTGTTCTCACTTGTTATGCTTGCTCTTTGAGGTTCGATGAGGCTCCGGGTATAGAGACACATAACCCAGCAGGCATGTGCATTTCACTTTTTTTCTCTCCATTAAGGTAATCTCTGAAAGGTCTGAGGCACTGGTGTGCAAGGAGAGGAGAGTTAAAAGGGGTGAAATTGACAGCTGGGCAGTGAGAGCAAGCCATCAGAAGGTCAGCCTGCATGTCTGTACTGCCGGACTTAGTAACAGACTGAGACCATCAGAAGGCTCCAGGCTGCCTCATGTAAAACTGGATGCCCTTTTGATCATTAAAACATGTACAATAAGAAGTGACACGCCCATCTTTTCACCTATTGCTCTCCTCTATCTATCCATTTTCTGCCTCTCAACCACTCACTAACCCTCCTACCTCGAAACTTAGTTTCCCTGGGCAACGCTGGGGAATGCTGTGGAGGCAGTCAAGTTAAAATTGCAGCAGATCCAGCAACGCACCTGTTAGCACAATGGCACGCACTCAGACAATTAGAGCATGCTACGGCTCCACGGCAACATCTCTGGGGCACGTCTGTAGCTGAAAACAACAAATGTGTGTATTCATCTGGAGGATAAAGGCAAGAGATGATATATACATGCTACCGAGACAGACAGAGAGGGGGGAGGGGAGAAACGGGGGGAGGTGGCAAGCATAATGCACCTCTTTGTTTCACTTGTCATCCTGGTAAAAGCCAGCTGTCTTTTTCTGGAATCACAGCAGGCCAGCAGCAGGTGAGAGAGCCTCTTAATTACAGCCTGTTGTTGAACCAGGTCAGTCAGCACACTACTGCCACTGGGTGTGAAGAAGAATCCACTCCAGCCACACCTCATTACATCAGTGCTGCTCAGTGTACCTCACTGGGGAGGCGGATGCTATCTTCAATAAGATGCTAGATGGAGACAGGCGGAAGTAATAAACTTTAAGAGATGGTTGAATAAGATGTTTGGAGAGTGTGGAGACTACACACCTGCCCGCATACAGAGCTACTTTAATGGGTTGCACCTCCTCTGACAGTGGTGCATGGACCTCTGATCTCCACAGGGGCAACGCTGACTGGTAGTCACAGGTGGAAGATGTCTCAGTCAAAGACCTAAACAGCACTGCATGGAGAGGGATGTGGTGCAGCAAAAATCAACTTTCAGTTCTTTTTCTCATTGTTTAAAGCACCATACCAGAGTTTTTACATGCTTTAGATTATTTAAAACAAATCATAAACTTATAGTTATTGCTGATATTTCAAGTAATTTCACCATGTAATTAAAATAAAATTGCAGTTATCTGTTGTATAGTTTGATTTTAAGTCTGCACTCCATTGCCTCGCAAAAGAAGGAACACATTCTTACAAAACATGATTTTCCTTATTATCTATCAAAAGGAGGTTTTACACCACATGACAATGACTAGAAACCAGCAGCTACCTGAAAGGCAGACAAACCTATAAAATTATGGTATGATTTGGAATATGGTTAGCAGTAATCTGAAGTGTACATGACACTAACCCACGCAAGAGTTTAGCCACTTTCACATTCAGTTGTCCTGTTATAACCATTTGTCCAATTGTTGCTAATAAAACATCCCATAAACTAAAGCGGTGGCATTACACACTGCGAGTAGGAAAAGGCAACAGACTCCAAGCCTGAGTCATCATACCATCACCACAAGACTGTTGCTGACAATACAACCATATACAGGACAATATGACAAGCTTGGTGCATGTATGTAAACACCGACCATAAACACCCACACAAATTCACATACATACAGTACAGAGCTTGATGAAAGGTAGTGTAGAAATGTGCAGACCAGTCAAATCTTTCCTGAACACACAAGTACATGCATCTATTATTATTGTTAAATCTGATACCTTATTGATCACCGCTTCCTGCCTGAGCCTGCCCACATGGAGATCAGAGTACAATGTCAGTTAAGCAATAACCTCTGGTGCTGCTAAGCTGCTATGGGCTGGACTTTAGGCTTTTTCACTTTGCAAACCTGTTACATGCACAAAAAAGATATATAACTCAATAAAGGAGAGGGAAAAAGCCAAAAAGCATAATACCACCACTTTAAGCATCAACAGGGAGGATTCATGTTGCCATGGCAAGTTGCTGATCTCTAAAATGCTCCAAGCAGGTTTTGTTCTTGGTTAACTTGAGGTTACCCTGTATACGTGGGCTACACACCACACCTGTACTCAGTGTTAATAATGAGAAGTAGGCTATTAATACATACCACTTGATAACATATTTTTAAATTTCATCCAGACTTGTTCCACTGCGGTTGTAGCTAAAATGACGTCATTCTTAACACAACAGCATTACGTTCATACAGCGAGCCCTGCAGCCTCTGTGATTTTAGGGAGGAGATCTTAATTAAATAACGGCCAGTTCCTGAAATGTTATATAATTGAATTGTTTTCACATAGGCTATTTAGATTGACTATTTTCCAAATAGTGTCCAAAAAATCGGAAGCCAGGGTCGGGGTTAATAAATCGACAAAAAAAACATTCCTAGATGAAAGTGACAAATTCATAAAAAAAAACGTAAATTCCCTGAATTGCCTGAAATTAAAGTCACAAAAAATCTAAATCACACTGGTGTTTTGTTCTGAATACGCCCGGCCCAATAGACAAAGTATCTAAGGTGCACGATAACATGTGATTGTGGGCTAAACTCACGAGTATTTCCTCACTGCTAAATCCGATTGCAAAGTCTAATAGTCTAATAAACTGCATGCATAATCTAATATACGGCAGAGGTGTGTGAGTGTGTGATGTTGCAGCCTTGCATACGCCGTTGCGAAAAAACGCTTTCTGCACAGCCAGACACGCCCATTTTATGCAAAAGTGCACCAACTCCAATTGGGTTAACACCGGATTAAAACCGACACCATCATCTTATTCACCGTCGTAGTGCCGTTTTACTCCTGTGTAGGCGATCTGAGTTTGCTTGATAACCCCGAGTTAACTCTGAGGAGATTGAACTCCCTTCGTAGTATAGGCCACTGGTTAGATGATATGGTGCTTTTATTTACCTTACTTATTTCACCATCTGCTACAAATTTGCAAGCGCCACTTTAACCCCAAAACGGACTTTTTGTCTCTTCCCCTTTTCACAGTGTAACACAGAGGAAGAACAATATTTAGCCAAAATAAAGACAGCTAACACACAAATATCTACGCGTATATGTTTAATTCATCCTGTAGCTGCCCGAAATGGAGGTACTACTTCAACAGAAGTGCCCAGTGTGCTTTCAAGCTAATCTCAATGGATTCTGCAGAGCAGCACGATGCAGCGCACTGCTGAGCCAGTGAACCAAGTGATGAAAGCAGCAACAAAACAAAGCACTAAAGACTGATTTTTCAGTTGGGGAACATCATCAGCTGTGGTACCATCCAAATGTTTTTTCTTCTTTCTCACAAAACTAACACACTCTGACAACCGTGTTTTATAAACTTCTTTTAGGCACTTCTATTGATTTGAAGCAATTTTGTAATTATTTGTGCTGTATTTTGAATTACTGTCAAATAAAAAATAAAAAAATCCTCCATAGACAGTAGACCAATAAATCACACACTGAGTAGCATTCAGAAGAGCTGAACAGTCATTTTCTCAAGTATAAAAAATATGAATCCATTCTGAGCAAACAAAACACAAAACCACCTGACAAGAGGATGTTTAGTACAGTGAAAGAATTGCTGCAAATGAGCGAACAAGTTATTGTGGTTACAGACAAAAAAAGACACTTCAGAAGGAGGTGGATGGAAACCTCGTCCAATCAGAATCTGCCAGCTGCTCTTTTATCTTGCTTATACATCAACGCATATCTCCCTCAGAACCTCACTAAAGGCACTAACACTTGAAAGTAAAGGGGCACACATTAAAGGAATCTAGCTACTGTACTGCTCCGCCTCGATTTACAGACAGGGGGAGCCACAGTTGATAGAAAATAAAAAGAGGGCAGAAAAACACTCAGGTGGAGGTCACTGGTAATAAAGATGCCCCTGTGGGGGCTGTCAAGGACTCCATACTAAATCGCTCAGGTCTAATAGGTCATTATCTGTCCCATAGGCCTTATAATATTAACAGCACTGCACACACACACACACACACACACACACACACACGTTGGTGCATAAAATGCGTCAAATCACCCACTTACTGAAATATGACTGATAGGGTGAAATGTGGTCTCGTGGCTTAAGCAGCAAAGAAAATCTTAGGACATAAACAGAAGATTTAAGAAGCCTTATCTATCTGAGCTGATACACAGAGCATTTGCATATTCATGAGATGAGCAGGGTTATTACGAAGGAGGGAACAATGCCAGAGGAAGAAGGCGGTGAGGGAGTTATAAATCTTTTCACAATTGTGTTTCTGCATTGTATGTGTACAGTAGGACTGTGTCTCAGCGTGTGTTCCCTGAAACACATACTGTATCGGTGGAGGAAAAATCTTAGAAAAGTGATTAAAATGCATAGTTAATGCTCCTATAATCTATATGTTTTAAAGTGATGAACCCACTGAGACTTTTCACCCAACTCTGAAAAGTTTATCGTTTTAGTTTTATAACCTACAACTTTACTGTAATGGTTCTGTCTCAACATAAGCATTCTTTTTTTAACATCCTCCAAATGAATGCTAATATTCCTCATTCTGGACATGAAACTTGGCAATTGTTTAATCACACATGAGGCATTGGTAAGAGTTGCACAGAGATGTGGACTCAAAAGCAATCTATCGTTTACTCGGTAAGAGTTCAAAGCAGAGTTCAGCAAAAGGTAATCAGTCAATGAGGGAAAACCTGTGCACCCAACTATCCTTCAATCCATTCATCATCAACCGCTGATCCTGTGTACAGTGATCTGTAATTTAATTTAACTGTAAACACAGTTTTGCTGTAAAACATCATGTATGCTCAGCCAACCTGCCCTATATAAATAAAGGTTAAATAAAGTTGAAATATTAATATAGTAAAAATATCTATTTCAAGGAATGCTTGAGCAAAGAACCAATTCTTATAGATCTAATATATTTATGTACCATACGACCGTTTTTCTGTACATCACTGACTGCTGGTACATTAAGCTGGCTCTGGACAGGTCAGAATCTGTCAATGCACTGACAGTATCAGGCTAGTTATACAACAGCCTTCTGCAGGCATGTTGCCAAGGCTGTCGGTAGGAAACCAGTGGTGTAAAAACTTCCTAACTGTAGGTAGAAGAGTGAGAGCTGGGATGGCTTTTTAAAGATACTGCAGGAAACAACTTTTAAGTTCTAAACCTATTAAAAAGGGTCCCTTGGGCAAAACCAGCAGGTACATAATGAGAAGATAGTGAAAATAAGAGACGTAACATGAAAAATCAAGGTTTATGTAAAGGATGGAAGCCTGGATTTCTGTGTGTGTGTGTGTGTGTGTGTGTGTGTGTGTGTTTAAGATGGCACAGGCAAAACTTGTTATGACACAGCCATTCTACAGCTAAAAGATCCCCTCCAGTAACAACAGAACTGTGAGCATATCAGATCTGCGGGACCAAACAATCATCTTAATGTTAAACCCTGACAACACTAAAGATTAGAGCTGCCACCTAATAGTCGACTAGTCGATGAGAAGCGTCTTTGTCGAAAAAACGTTACTCAATTACTTGTGTAGCCGCAGGTACTAAAACCTTGAACTTCATTCGGGAGCTGCACCTTGTCACCGGGACAAAAGTAGTAACACAGGCCTTTTCCTTTGTTACACAGAAGTCACTTACGGGGCGCACTGCTCTGCTGCTGACTCGAGCTGCCATTAGCTAGTCCTATTAGCTGATTCTACCCAGACTCGGAGCTTGGAATACCGTGTTAACTAGCACAGGAGCTTTGGACCACGGGATACAGAGGTTTTCAGGACCGGGGTGGGGGACTTTATATATAATTGAATGAACCCCTATTAATTGGCAGGTTCCACTGCCATTGAGGCAACACAGCACTCAGGAAGATATGAAGGTAACTGCAAACAGCATCTACTGGTTTTATTTGTTATTCTTGAATCTAATTAAACAGTTAAGCACCAAAACAAGATTATTATTATTCTATTATCATTTTAGTGGAGTGAAAGCCAAAACTCGATTTGTGCTGCTAAGATTGGGAGCCTAAGGTTTCCTAATGATTGTGTAATGATGTGTAATTTTCAGTAAATCTTGTCATCGCTGCTGGTTAAATAAGGGGATCTCAGCTGCTGGTGGAGCAGCACTGTTAAGGTTACTTCTTTTAAGGGGCAGGATTACTGAGCTGGCTCTGACATGTAGTTTGTTGACTCCACTCCCAGCAGATCTGCTGCCAAGCCTCTTGGAGTATTAGCAGTCTGCCATTCTCATTCCAGACAGAGCCAATGGGCTAACCTAACAAGCACTCTCCCACAGGAACACATCTGTTGTCAGATTAGTTAGGCTCTAGCCATGGGTTATCAATCAAAGTGGTGAATTACATTACATACTGAAATTTATTCATCATTTACGTCAGCTGATTAAATGATTTTCCAGAACAGATGTAGGCAGGAGCGATAGAGAGGCGCCGAAAGACAAGGGGAATGTTAAAGAGAACATGTATTCGGCTTCACAAGCCAAACAGAAGCAAAACTGAAAAAAAAAAAATTTGAAGGCTGGTATAGACTTTGGCTGCATTTCACTCAGCAGCATTCTAATTTAATGGGTTTATAACATTTGCAAATGTCATTGTACTTGCTTTGATATCAAATCTAAGCTCTAGCCTCAATATTTGACTACTGAAACACCCAGGTAGCAGGTAGTGATGACAGCTTTTGTGCCTGACTGAGGCATACAGAGTCTTTTGGTAGTCTGTTTGTTGGTGACAGGTGTGCAGAGATAGCTGGGCTCCAGGTGATTGGCACTTAAAACTATGAAACACCAGCTGAGGCCCTGCAAACACAATGACTTCAGGAAGAGTGGCAAAGGTTAAACTGAAGAGC